TGTCTCCTACCTCCGATAGGAATCCTTGGAGGTCCCGGAGGTTGTCTTCCATGATTACTATTGTCACTATCGTCGCTGTCTGGATCATCATCGGGATTGGGAGCTGCTCCGGAGCGGGAGAATTGGCGAGGCGAACGTGACGGTGTATGTGGCGGTGTGTGGCTAGGTACTCCCTGCGCACTTAAGTTTCGATGTGGGGGTGGATCGTGTTGTGTATCTGAACCTGAACGCTTCTGGACTCCAAAAATTTCTTTTAACCGTGAATTATTCGTGGGCAAGCTTGCCATCTGACCCGAAATAGCCGATTTGCGTTGAGAGTCTTGAGGCCTAGACATCCGTGTCTGCCAGCGTGGGATAGAGGGAACTTCATGTAGAGCTGGCCGTAGGACACTGGTGGCTCTCACCTCCGATTCAATCTCTGGTTTTCTCTCCTCGTCCTCTTCCTCAGCTTTCAGCATATCAAATACAAGTTCTTGTGCTTTTTTGTTTTGGGAGAGAGGCCTGTTGTTCTTGAAATCGTAGTGCTCAGTTAATTTGTAGAGGAAGTGTTCCACATCAGCACGGAAACAGACAGCCAAAATCTCATAATCGTTCAATGAGCAATAGTTGCGGGTATCATCGAGCTCTCCCCAAGATGGGAATGGTGGTTGGCGACGACCAGATACTTTAAATCCAACAGAAGCTCGTTCCCAGTAAATCAGGATCATCAGAAGAATTGCCTGATACTCGTGATCGACTACATGATAGCCAAAAAGATGACCATCGCTGTTCCAGCGCCGCACTTGGGCATGCGACAGTAACTTCTCGAGATGCGTCATGATTGAACGGAAAGTTGTATTGTACATCTTCCCTTTGATGCGTGGTGCATTCATCAAGTATGGCTTTCCAATCATTTCCACGGCCAATTCCAACGCTGTATTGTAGCGTAATTTTGCTGCCAAAGATTGTTCATCTGAAGGTCGTAATGTAGGCAAATCAATGTCGATGATCTCATCCACGGAGCCAGGTGCAGCATTCGCTTCATCCAACACATGATCAAGCATCTGTAATTCTTTCTCATTGTGATCATTCTGGACTTGTTGAATTTTGGACGGAGTAACTGTGAGAGGGACACGAATCTTGTCTGCTGGTTGAAGTTCGTCCTCATCTGGGCTGTCAAAAACGCCACGTTCAGACTTTGGGATGAATGCTGGAGTCTCCGGGGCAAATGGATTAGGACTTGGTTTGCGAGATGGTGGTTGAACTGTGGCAGTCCGGGACATAATGGAAATGTAATGGGACAATGCAGTGGGATTTTATCGGGTAGGAAGGTGGATAGAGAATCAGAGAGATCCCTGTGCGTCCACCAATGTTAAGGATATAGCTATTTGGCAGGATCTGCAAATAGATTAGTAATTCAAATTCGATAAATTGACGCACTTTGAGTCCAAATACTGGATCTCACTGTTCTCTACCCTCAGTAGCTCTACTACCGTTTTAACGAAACTCAGTAAAGCGAATTACTGAATGATATTCAGAACCTTTGAGTCTAGCAACACAAAGGGGTGCTTGAGTTTGGCAAAACAAGCACTTAACCAACGAAGCGGCTAGCTCTAGCAAGATAGCTGCAAAGTCGGGGTATATTCTTATAGAAGAATAGGAATATAAGTCTTGAGGTACTAGAATCTGGCAATTCAAGTACAACTAAGACTAGGTTGGATAATAATTAGGCACAGGGTGCACTAAGTACTGTGAGCAAGTAGTGGATTTGAATCAAAAGTAAGATGTCCCTCACAGCAGGAGGGACTCTGCTTTTATACTATCTAGCTAGTGTTTCGGATTCATCAAAACATGAATCCCTGACGCGTTTCAGGACCACGAAACGCGCAAGGACTTCAGGATCACAAATGACTCATTGATGATAAGTCATAATGATCTAGTCTGATAGCAGCTGCTTCACGGTGTATTTAAATATACAAAATGTACTTATTTAAGATTGTGTAGAGCCTTTGTAGCCGTGTCCATAATCCATGACAGCGGTACATGGACACAAGGCCTGATGAAAAGGACCGGGGGATTACGATCAAATCGACTGCTATATCTATGTGCGTCTTGCAGAACGTTTGGACTTGATTTATAAAGCTGATGCCAGCTCCCAGGTACTTCCAGCTCCCGGAGGAAGACCTGGCCGGCATTGCAGCAACGAGCCAGGGGAACGGCTTCCTGATCAACCTCATCGATGTGCGTGTGCGGCGCCATCGCCGATGCTCAAACCATCTCACCGATCGAACAGAGCCCCGGCCACGTGGACTTTTCCTCGGAAGTAACCGCCGCGCTGCGCGTGACCGACGGCGCGCTGGTCGTGGTCGATACGATCGACGGCGTGTGCGTGCAGACGGAGACGGTGCTGCGGCAGGCGCTGGGCGAGCGCATCAAGCCCGTCGTCGTCATCAATAAGGTCGACCGCGCGCTGCTCGAGCTGCAGGTCTCGAAGGAGGCCCTCTACCAGTCCTTCGCGCGCACGATCGAGAGCGTCAACGTCGTCATCGCGACGTACCACGACGCGGCGCTCGGCGACGCGCAGGTGGCCCCCGACCGCGGCACCGTGGCGTTTGGCGCGGGGCTGCAGGGCTGGTGCTTCACGCTGCGGCAGTTCGCGGCGCGGTATGCGCGCCGGTTCGGGGTCGACCGCGGGAGGATGATGGCGCGGCTGTGGGGCGACCACTTCTTCAACCCGGCGACGAGGAAGTGGTCGACGACGGGGACGGACGCGGAGGGCAGGCCGCTCGAGCGCAGCTTCAACATGTTCGTGCTCGACCCGATCTACAAGATCTTCGACGTCGTGCTGCACAGCAAGACCGCCGAGCTGCACACTATCCTCGACAAGCTCGAGATCAGCCTCCCGCGCGAATACTTTGAGCGGGAGCCGAAGAAGCTGCTCAAGGCGGTCATGGAGGCGTTCCTCCCCGCGGGCGACTCGCTGCTCGACATGATCGTGCTGCACCTCCCCTCGGCCGCGGCCGCCCAGCGCTACCGCGTCGAGTCGCTGTACGAGGGCCCCATGGACGATGAGTCGGCTATCGGGATCCGCGACTGTGACCCGCGCGGGCCGCTGGTGCTGTACGTGTCGAAGATGGTCCCGAGCTCGGACAAGGGCCGGTTCTACGCGTTCGGGCGTGTGTTCTCCGGCACCGTGCGCACGGGGCGCAAGGTACGCGTCCAAGGTCCGAACTACGTCCCGGGCGGCAAGGACGATCTGTTCGCCGCGTCGGTGCAGCGCACGGTGCTCATGATGGGCCGCGTCGTCGAGCCGCTGGACGACTGCCCCGCGGGCAACATCGTCGGCCTCGTCGGCATCGACCAGTTCCTGCTCAAGAGTGGGACACTCACGACGTCCGAGACCGCACACAATATGCGTGTGATGCGCTTCTCTGTGTCGCCGGTGGTGCAGGTCGCCGTCGAGGTGAAGAACGCCGCGGATCTGCCGAAGCTCGTCGAGGGCCTCAAGCGCTTGTCCAAGTCCGATCCGTGTGTGCAGACGTGGATCGCACCGGAGACGGGCCAGCACATCGTCGCAGCCGCCGGCGAGCTGCATCTCGAGATCTGCCTCAAGGCGAGTTGTTCTCTCCTCGATCGAGATCCCCACTGATTCGGTGCACTACAGGACCTGGAAGACGACCACGCCGGCGTCCCACTCAAGAAATCAGATCCAATCGTCCCGTATCGTGAGACCGTCACCACGGAATCCTCAATCGTCGCGCTCGCCAAGTCGCCGAACAAACACAATCGGCTCTACATGAAAGCCGCGCCGCTCGGCGAGGACCTGGCGCTCGCCATCGACTCCGGCCAGATCGGCCCGCGGGACGACCCCAAAGCCCGGGCGCGCGTGATGGCGGACCAGTTCGGCTGGGACGCCGCCGACGCGCGCCGGATCTGGGCCTTCGCGCCGGAGGGCACCGGGCCGAATGTGTTGGTCGATACGACGAAAGGGGTGCAGTACCTCGCGGAGTCGCGCGACTCGTGTGTCGCGGGGCTGGAGTGGGCGGCGAAGGAGGGCGTCTGCGTCGAGGAGAGCATGCGCGGGATCCGCTTCAACCTGACCGATGCCACGGTACGCGTCTTTACCTCCTAACAGATTGAATGAGGCTGATGGATCCACCCGCCCGCCCACCAGCTGCACACGGACGCGATCCACCGCGGCTCCGGGCAGCTCCTGACGACGGCGCGGCGCGTCGTGCTCGCGGCCTGCCTCGCCGCGCAGCCGACGCTGATGGAGCCGATGTTCCTCGTCGAGGTGCAGTGCCCCGACCGCGCGCTCGGCGGCGTCTACGCGTGCCTCAGCCTGCGCCGCGCGCAGATCGTCGCGGAGGAGCAGCGCCCGGGGACGCCCATGTGCACGGTCAAGGCGTACCTCCCCGTCGCCGAGTCGTTCGGCTTCAATGGCGCGCTGAGGCAGGCGACGGCCGGGCAGGCGTTCCCGCAGAGTGTGTTCGACCATTGGGCGGTCATATCGGGCTGTGAGTTGGCTATGCGACCACCGGTCGAGGATCCTGATGCATTTTTTTTTGCAGCGCCGTTGGAGAAGGGGAGCAAAGCCGAGGCGCTGGTTCAGAGCATCCGCGTGAGGAAAGGACTGAGCGTGCGTCTCTTACCCATTGTGTGGGGCACCAAACTGATTGACCAGCAGCCCTTGATTCCGTCACTTGACACGTATCTTGATAAGCTGTAGGCGTAAGTAGATGATAAGCGGGGATCGTCGTAGTAGCAGTATGTATTCTTTTGTATTCTCTCGCGACTGGATCAATGTGATCGGGGGATCCTGTTGCAAGACGCGGGGTGCTTACAGTTGCACTCATACTTGATTGGAGCAGTCATCACCCGGGTCTTCAGAGTCCTGAGCCGCGGATGCATGATCACTCGCTCAGTATTCGATTCTCTCTTCCAGGATGGGAGCACCACCTCGACTGTTTGATGTTCATCTATCATCTATAACTGACTGATAAATACAGAACAATATAGTGACCATGCCCTAGACTCGATTCGTCTCGACGACGCAGTAGAGGTCCCGATTATCAGCATTACACTATTGAGGCTAACTTCCGCCCGTCCGTGCCGAACAAAGACAACCTCGCGACACTCGTTCCGTTACAGTAACCCACCAAGCCTACACCTACACAGAGATCGCCTCGCCCGGCTCGGCGTCCAGTAGCCGACGATCTTCCTCGTAGCTCCGCCGTATCCACGAGACGCCCTCCCACATGACAACCAGGATGCACGCTGTCATCAGCGTGCATGCGGTCAGGAAGACGGAGAAGCTGTCCATGTCCGAGTCGCCAACTGGCTGGATCGCGAGCGGGGTCGTGGCGGGGGAAGGGATTGGGGACATATTGGATTTGGGTGGTTGAGTACTAGTGAGGGGGGAGGATGGGTCCTAGGAGGCAGAGGGTCGGATCCGCTTTGCAATCGGGGTCAAGAACGTGTGCTTACCTCGGAGGGAGGCCGAACAAGGCTCGGACAGTGCCAGAAGCAGCCAATTCGACGTCTGGAATCTTGCAGAGTCAAGTCACGGGAATGTTGGCAGTGTCGACCAGCGACGGGGCCAGAATGAACGAAGGACCGACAAGAGTCGAGGTCGAGCGAAAGCGAACGAATGGGTTTGGGTTTGTAGAGAGAGAAGTGGGTTGTGTATGGAAACCCGGAAGGCCCTGCTCAATAACCGAGACGGCCTGCTCAATAACCGGGACAGCTGACAGTGATGGTGTGATCTGGGGTCCTGCTCCTCGAATTGTAGACTTAGACATTGGTAATATAGTTTTGTAGACAGCTTTGATCATTAAGTCCTCAGTCAAGCCTGATAGGGGCAGGAAGACTAAGGATGCAACACAACAAAAATAGTATTTAAGTAGAATCACATGATCCGAGATTAGACACGTGACAGGCTGTGTACCAAGCTGCTTGCTACGTCATAACTGCCAATACCTGTTTCATCAAAGGCAGTAGATCTGGTGAGGTTGCTTAATCAGCAATGTTCAAAGTGGACCGCTTCACCGCACCTTTTGCAGTCCATCCCTCGGATTTGAAGTCATCTGAAACCCGTCAACTTCGAAGAACGCTGAGCTAAACGAGCAGAAATCACCCCAATCGGAGGCGGATGCCTGCGTTGAGCCATGAGACCCAAATTAGCCAGAGCAAAACAAAAACACAATTGAACTCACCCTTGTGTAAATCTAGAAACATTAAGTCATGTGAACTCGACTGTACTGCCCGAGTTTGCCGACTGACTGACCTGGAAATTAACACTACGGGGGTTCGGGTTATCTCTGCGGGGCTCATCGAAGAATGGCATTCTCACCTGCTCCCTCCGCCTGGTCGCACGGAACTGTGAGAGGAATATTCCACGAGGCGGTGGTCTACACACTGAAGATGTTCGCGCGTCTGGATCGAACAAAATCCGGTCACTCACATCACCGAGCGAAAAAAAAGAACTGGGGCACGCACGGGACAATGCTCTGTCTTCCGCGGAGATATGACGAGGCCTTCGTGTCGATGTAGAACGTGGCCTTGTCGTTTCTGTGGCCCGGTCAGCCCACTGAAGGCCCGGGTAACGCGGTCAGGATCACTTACATGCCGTTGCGCTGCATGTTGCGGACGTAGATGCCCGGTCTGCGATCCGGATCCGCGGTGAGTGCGAGGGAACGAAGCAGCGTGGGTCATGAACGACGGACCGGTAGACTTGAACACAAGATATTCAGAATCCTGCGCCGCAGATCGGCCACTCGAGCTTACCCAGGGATCGTCTCTGTTGTTAGCACCCCCTGTGAGTGTGTGCATCAGAGACCGGCTGGCACACGACGGGAGGAGTCGAGGCAGGCACCTTCGATGAGCATGACTTTGAGGGAGGGATCAGCAACCGCGAGACGGCCAGCGACGACACAGCCCCCAGGCCCGCCCCCCGCGACGATAACATCAACTTCTTGTGGTTGCACCATTGGACTGATTGCGGCGCTGAGAGTGGTGGGAGTGCACTAGTAGGCCCCCGGTGGGTGTGTTATATATACGCTCGCCGCTAGGATGCTGGGAAAACAGGGTGGGCACACCTCAGTTACCACCGCCATCACGCGGTTCTCCCCCCGCGGGGTACCTACTGGGTACCCTCAGACGTCTTGCTGAGGGTACCCAGTAGGTACCCCCTGGCGGGGGGTGGGGGGGCCATTTAGTCGATTTAGTAGCGGGGGCATATGCGGGGGTCAGGAGGAGGGGGGGTGTATGTAGCATGTGACTTGTCCATAAGAGCGGGTAGCTGGGCGGGAAAAAAAAATCCAATCACATGACGCGCTGCATGGGCGGGATGGCGGGATAAAAAAATCACGTGATGCGCTGCACCAAATATTACCAAAATGCTGGCAGGGGTTGGCGGCGTCATTGGCGGGGTCACTACCACCCCCCCGCACACCATGGCGGGCAGTGGGCGCATTATCACGTGACTTTTTGGGCGCCTTTTTTGCAGCATTTGGCATGATTTTGGAAATGCTGCTTGATACATTGCATGCTGTGGCAGACAATGGGCGCAAAATCACGTGATTTTCCGCCAAAAAAATGGAAGACTCCCCAAATCATCCCAGTATAATTTCCATAGGTAAATAGGCTAGTTAAACATGAACTTGAGCTTAGAAAAACCAAAATGCACCCTGCACAATGGGATTGGTGACACACTTGATCCCATCATTTGGCAGGGCCTGCCGCAGGGGCTGCCGCGGGGGTGCCGCGGGGGGTGCCGCGGGGGGTGCCGCAGGGGGTGCCGCGGGGGGTGATGCGGGGGCTGCCCCAGGGTTGGTCTGTTATGATCCATTTTTGTTCATTGAAGATCTTGTAGAGGTGAGCAGGGCAACAGGCCAACTGGGAATTTATAGGAAGACATTGAAATTGATGCAGGGGTCAGATGCGGGGCCCACTGCAAGGTCTACTGCAGGGGCAGGGGTGCATTATATCAAATTTCGATGTATCTATTCTGGCCATGGCCATAGAATGTCACATAATTATCCTTCAATTTGGCAGGGGTTTCTTGGTATGGTCTGCAGCTAAAGATATTTGATTCCCTTGTGCTTTAGCAGAGCCTGGGATATTGAAAACATGCAATAGCACCTGTATAATCTGTTTATGTAGGGTCAAATACAAGTTATGATTTGTTCATGTGTTGACCGGCAGGGTGGGTAGGTTGGCTGCACTGGGTCCACTGTCATCTCATTGATTTTTTGGTGCGCTCATTCTACATACATGGCTATTAGTCAATTGTTCACACTGTTAGCACAGTGTAATCTTACCCTGCGGCACATTGTACCATATGTCAAGTACACATTGAATGTCTCACTTCCTGACTGGGACTCATTGAAAATCAGAAGTTCTGTGATGCTTTGCAAATGATTTTCTCAAGCTGCAACATGAACAGATGGAACATAGCGGATTTGACATGCCCTCAATTCATTCCTGGGTCGTATATAAGAGGATGAACTAACTCACTAATAAGTTGTCTCACAATAGCCAGAGATTGAGCATGAATTCAGATTTCATATACAAAATTCTTTCCACTTAGAGCTTGGATACTTGCAAGACAAACTGCAGAAACATACATGATTGCTTTTGCTACTGGGACTGTATACGTTCTTGCCATAACTCACTGCCTGCAACTCTACCTGCACCCCCACTGGCACCCCTGCAGGCACCCCCCGCCAAACTGGCACCCCCCACTGCACCCCCGCATGCACCCCCGCCAGGCTGACACCCCCTGCCACACCCCCCGCTGCACCGGTGCCTTGCCCCTGCCATCTTCTCATATGTAAGATTACATAATCTGACAGCTCGGAACACGTCAAGTCACCAGCCAATCAGAACCTGTATAAACGTCGTACCTAAGTGTTTCCTGCTCTTCTGACACTGTTTCTACAGTTATGCAGCTGAAAACCATCGGAATAAGGTCTCCCTATGCTGTTCTTGTTGAATATGTAGGTATTTCATATCATTTGTCCATCCAAAATTCGAAACATGAAAACAGTTCACAGTTGCTCAAGGTTCCTACATAGATAATGGTTCAACATAGTTCACTTTGGGTATTGCAAAAAATATATTTTCTACAAATGAACAACTCAATACAGCTGAATGATATACCCCTTGGCAGTGTCTGAAACAAATTCTGAGAGCCCTGGACCCTGGAACCATTCAAAAACTTGAAATGGGTCCGAAAAATAGGGTCTTGATAAACATGAGATAGGGGCCAGTTTGAAGAGATGTAAGCCACTGGTCATGTTTAATGTGGTATTTGACAATGTTTCGGTGCCCTGCCCCTCACCAAATGGCCTCCTTTCCCACCAAAAAGTGCACATACACACTCAAGCTTATAAAATCAATTGTCGGCCAGAAACAAGAGCAGGCAAGTTGTGTCACTGGAATTGGGTAAAGGTAACCTGGAAGTCACTCGGGTTGCAGTACAGAAGCTTTGGAAAGTGATCCTGTAGTTGATCCACATTGGGTAGGCTGGCAGAGGCTTGGGCACCCCCCGCGGCACCCCCCGCAGCAGCCCCCGCGGCAGCCCCCACCATCAACCCTGCCCCAGCCCCTGCAAGGATTGGATGGACAAAAGTGCTGCCTAATCAATTGTTAGTGTTCACAGTATTATCACATCCATTAAAGTGTCTAAATGGTGTGTAGACAAGGAATATGAAATCCATCAATCAACAATCCTAACACCTGTATCAGATATCCTGAAAATGGAGAGGAAGATTTGGGAGCAGACAGACTATCGGAAGCAAACAGACAGGGACAAGGAGCAGTAGCTATTCCTGGCGATCAATTTGGCTGCACATGGAAAACTCCCTTGGGGGATTTGCCAAACAAATCAAGTTGCGCATTTTTCAAACATTAAATTCGACCTAATAGCTTGAGCAGACCATGCCCAAATGTACCAAGTTATAACTTGTATTTGACCCTACATAGACAGATTATACAGGTGCTATTGCATGTTTTCAATATCCCAGGCTCTGCTAAAGCACAAGGGAATCAAATATCTTTAGCTGCAGACCATACCAAGAAACCCCTGCCAAATTGAAGGATAATTATGTGACATTCTATGGCCATGGCCAGAATAGATACATCGAAATTTGATATAATGCACCCCTGCCCCTGCAGTAGACCTTGCAGTGGGCCCCGCATCTGACCCCTGCATCAATTTCAATGTCTTCCTATAAATTCCCAGTTGGCCTGTTGCCCTGCTCACCTCTACAAGATCTTCAATGAACAAAAATGGATCATAACAGACCAACCCTGGGGCAGCCCCCGCATCACCCCCCGCGGCACCCCCTGCGGCACCCCCTGCGGCACCCCCCGCGGCACCCCCCGCGGCAGCCCCTGCGGCAGGCCCTGCCAAATGATGGGATCAAGTGTGTCACCAATCCCATTGTGCAGGGTGCATTTTGGTTTTTCTAAGCTCAAGTTCATGTTTAACTAGCCTATTTACCTATGGAAATTATACTGGGATGATTTGGGGAGTCTTCCATTTTTTTGGCGGAAAATCACGTGATTTTGCGCCCATTGTCTGCCACAGCATGCAATGTATCAAGCAGCATTTCCAAAATCATGCCAAATGCTGCAAAAAAGGCGCCCAAAAAGTCACGTGATAATGCGCCCACTGCCCGCCATGGTGTGCGGGGGGGTGGTAGTGACCCCGCCAATGACGCCGCCAACCCCTGCCAGCATTTTGGTAATATTTGGTGCAGCGCATCACGTGATTTTTTTATCCCGCCATCCCGCCCATGCAGCGCGTCATGTGATTGGATTTTTTTTTCCCGCCCAGCTACCCGCTCTTATGGACAAGTCACATGCTACATACACCCCCCCTCCTCCTGACCCCCGCATATGCCCCCGCTACTAAATCGACTAAATGGCCCCCCCACCCCCCGCCAGGGGGTACCTACTGGGTACCCTCAGCAAGACGTCTGAGGGTACCCAGTAGGTACCCCGCGGGGGGAGAACCGCGTGATGGCGGTGGTAACTGAGGTGGGTGGGCAAGTGACCTGCATTGAATCAGTAAACGTCCCGTTCGTGGCATTGTGGGAGAGATGGGGATACAACTTGAGCCCATTGGGTCATGCAGCCTGCCCCCATCAAAAATATTGTCGCAGCATCGCACAGCACGAATCGCAGCAGGTTTTTGCCGCGGGTTCGGGGTCAGCGGTTCCAGAAGAAAGAAGTGGGGCTCTTCTCGTGCAGTTCGAGATTATCCACTGTGGTATGTTGTGAACTCACGGACAGACAGCGGCCACTGCCAATCACGGTTTGCTTCGCACCGAGACAGGCGGTGGGCAGCCCTTGCTGTGACGGCTATGGCGGGAGTGACGGGGCGCCCACCACTGTCCGTCGCGAATTCACAAACGGACAAAGGCTGCACCCCGCCGCGTGGCCGTGCTCCCCACCCATCTTGAACTAAGCCGCAAGGTAACACTTTGAGAGAACAATGACGGGCGCTGGGGGACAACAGAAACAATGACAGGCACAGCCACCTGTCAACGTCCTGGCAAACAGTTCACGGTAACCGTGTGTATTATAATACTATGACTCTGACTGACTATGACTGAGTCGGATCAGCATGCTACTTAATGATCACAGTTGTCTACAAAACTATATTACCGATGTCTAAGTCTACAATTTGGTGAGCGGGACCCCAGATCACGCCATCACTGTCAGCCGTCTCGGTTATTGAGCAGGGCCTTCCGGGTTTCCATAGTTGTGAGATAGATTGCACTGCACTTACAGAACACGCTCGCGGAGCGGAGAGGGAAACCCAAGCGAGCCGCGCCAGATTCTTATCAGCATCTTTGAAACCACCATGGCCGCCCGAGAACACCGTCGCTGCTCCACTTGACCTGGATAGAACCTCGCATCAGCATGATAGAGACGGGTGAGACGAGCCCATCACACCGATTGAGCTCGGCTCGCGCAGAGAGCAAGAGTGAGGTAAGGCCACGTGAGTAGTGCACAGCCACGATCAATCTTTGCGATGATCTTCTCCCGCCAGCGGTGTCTTGCCCACTCTGCCTACCGACTGAATTCTTGGTCCGAAAGAACAAAACCCCACTCGTTGCGACCCATCCTGTTTGAAACAGAGATGGCGTCCGTCACAGCTCAGAGATGGTAGACCTGCACAGCACAGAGATGGAAACGATCTGCAATTTCTGCGGCGGTACCTGATTGACAACGTCGGATTAGCGGGCGTCAGATACGTGTCATATATAGTGCGAGTTCCGTCCTCGACCAGCGGTCCTGTCGGCTCCTGCCCTCTTCTGTCTCGAACCTCTTCCCTTGCTCACACACATTCCTCCTCACTGAGTGCCCATCGCCGGTGATCGAAGGAAGGCGCGATGAAGATCCTGCGCTACACCGTCTCCTACTCCCGGCGCACACCCGCTCCGCCTCCCACCCTTCATCCCCATCCCCTTCCCAGTCATAATCCCACTCCCACTCCCACTCCCACTCCCACTCCGCAACCTCCCTCCGCCAGTCCCCACCCCCACGCCCCACCGTCTACGCCGGCGCGGACACCCACCGACGCACCCGCACCCCCGCCTCCCGAACCGCAGCCGAAGAAGAAAGCGCTGCTGATCGGCATCGCGTACGCGTCCGGCGCCGTCGCGGGCTACGCGCAGCTCCGGGGCCCCCACGCGGACGTGCGCGCGATGCGCGCGCTGCTGGTGCGCACGTACGGGTACGCCGAGCGCGATGTGGCCGTCATGCTCGACGGCGCTCCGGAGGACGGCGGTGCGCGCGAGGACGGAGACGGACGGCACGCGCTGCCCCCGACGCGCGCGAATATCCTGCGCGCGATTGACGACCTGGTGCGCGGGGCGCGCCGGGGCGACCGGTTCTTCTTCCACTGTGCGTCGTCGCTGTTCTTCTGCATCCCGTGCTGGGGTTGCTTCTTCTGACACGGCGCGCAGATTGTGGGCATACGACGCAGGTGGAGAATCGGTCGAACAGCGAGGAGGATGGGATGGACGAATGTGCGTTCCAGCTGTGTCTTCCTGCATGATTTGTGCATAGAGTGAACTCTCGACCCAAGGTCTTGTCCCAGTCGACGGCGAAGAAAACCTGATCCTCGACAACGAACTGCGGCGGCACCTCGTCGCGGCCCTGCCCGTCGGTGCATCTCTAGTCGCCGTCTTCGATTCGTGCCATAGTGCGAGTCTGTTGGGTGCGTTTTCCTCATGTTTAGCCGAACGCTGGGTCTCAGGCCGAGATTGCGATGCAGATCTGGAGCACTTCCGGTGCAACCGTGTATACGTGCCTTGGATGAACAAGGGACGTAGAAGGAGCGACGAACGATGGAATGCTATCGGTGCGTGCTTTTGCCTTTTGCTAATTAGACTCACTACATCTTCATATACGCCTATCCAGTTCGCAAACACGCGCTGCCCTTCCTTCCTGGCAACTCACCGGACAAAGCCACACGGGAGCAGAGCGACGGCGAAAAGTCCCTGACGGGCCGTGCTCGGCAGCTTCTCCGGAGGGCCTCGAGCCATATCTCTGTTCCAGTGACGACGGACGGGCACCGGCCCACTGAATCCCGCTCACCCACATCCCCGCCAAAAACGGCATCGTCGCCGATGGCGACGCCGGTAGTCGGAACACCGCTGGTCACCACCCGCCGGATCTACGAGGCGGCTCGCACAGGCCCGGGCTCGAAGCAGGTCCGGGCGTGGCGGACCGCGGTGGATGTGCTGGATGTCGCGGTAGAGGAAGATGATGGGACACAGAAGGATGCAGAAGCGGATGAGGGGCTACGCTGGACGACGGGTGCTAGAGCAGGGACGGATGCCGATGACGGACGCAAGACTAGACGTCGCCCAAAGGGCCGCCTGTCGCTGCCCTTGCTTCCCATCCGGCCAGGCACTTCGCCGGACCCTCCGAGGGGAAAAGCAAAGAAGCGCTCGTCAGGCAGCGAAAACACCGCTCCGGCGGATTCCCAGTCTTCTGGACAGCGCCGGGCGACTGTCTCGCGGTCACAGGCGGTCTCAGTGGCTGTGCGGGAGAAACGGAGGGAGGCAAATGATCATCCGGGCCCCAGTACGGTGCGCCCTGCGCTGCGTGTCGATGTGCCCACCCGGCCCGTCTCGTGGCTAGCGGAAGAAGGCCGCACGGCCTCGCCGAACCGGGCCTGCGAGAGCCCGTCGCCCGTGTGGGTCTGCCAAGGCGACTGCCGCTCGACGCACCGGCGGACGGACGACGACGCGGAAACGGCGTCGGTGATCTCGCTCGCGTCGTGCAAGGACTACCAGCTCAGCTGGGAGGACGCGGACGGGGGAAGCATGACGCGGGAGCTCGTGCGCATCCTCGAGAAGGACCCGCATCCGACGCTCCGTGCGCTGGTCACTGGCGTCAGCCACGCGCTGCACCGCATGACGCTCGACCGCCACATCGAGGCGAAGGCCTATAAACGCGCGCTGAAGAAGTACCAGGCGTGGATGAAGAAGCGGGAGGAGTCGAAGGACAAGAGCGTGCCGGTGCCCAGATCTGCTGCTACTACGGTGGCCTCCCCCATGACGGCGACGGCTTCGACTTCTCGCACGACGATTCTCGACACGCCCGATCCTGCTGCACCACCGCTGCCTTCGTTTGTGTCCAAATCAGACGGAATGGCGCATCACCTCGATATTGATAACTTCCAAAACCCGCAGATGTCCAGTCACCGCCCGCTCGATATGGAGGCCCCGTGGATGATATGACCTTCGGCCAAGATCGCCTACGAGATGTCGTGGATCTCCCGCGCTGCATAGTCACTCTCGTGCTTATGTCATCCCTGCGCCTAACACCCCAAGTAAATTACTAATGCACTGATGCTGATGTTCTGCCATCTTTCGTCGCCGCTTGGAGCCCGAAAACACGCATTTTTGTCTACCTGTACAGTATAACTTATACTTGCTTTGAGGGTCATTATTTTCGATAAAATGCAAGGCTGATGGAATCTTTCCGTACGTGGGACCCTTGATGCATTCTTTGTGTGAGAAGAATACAACAGCAACGGATGGGAACGTAAGGAGGTAGAAAGCAACACGCGCATGAGACAATCAAAGCCGTTGTGATGAAGAGGAATCAGAGTTCCCGAGGTGTTCACACTGTGTGTGTCGGGCTATCATTCATTTCACGGAACTTTGATGCCCGCCATGTTCCTTTTGATTCGATCATCAATTGTACCACTACTATACGGTGCCGCGTCAGTCCGAATGATTCCTTCGCGTGATTACACAGTGTCACTGATGGGCTGGTGAGGCTCGATACTTATATCAGGCGCCGCCGTTGAAATCCGTCTCCACTTGTCCTCAGGTTGCGAGAGAGATGCTTGATCTTCACGTCCACACTGCCTTTCACAATTATACACACCACCCCATCATCTCGGACATCAATCCGTCCGTGATACGTCTGCCCCATGTGCGGTACAGCTGCACGCGGTGCCTAGACAAAGCCGACGTGCAGATCAGCAACCCGTGAGATGGGGATGACACGGAGCGCACTAGCCACGCATGTCGCGCGGGCGGTCATCCGCGGTGCCTTGCTTCTTTGCTTCGACCGCCACTACTTACCTCTTCCTCTTCTCTTCCATCTTCCGTCTTTCACTCCCGTTCTTCTCCCCTCCCGGCGAGCCTTTATTCTGTTCGACTTCATTCGATCCAATTCACGTCCGTGGCTCTATCTCCGGCTCTCGTTGTCCTCAGAGTAAACAGTAAGTGCCGCATTTTGCAAGGCAAGCTCCCACGGATACTGAGGTCCGTAGCACTCACCACTCCCTTAAGCATTCCAAGATCATGAGTCCTGTCCCTCTTCCCTCAGCGCTCGCCGCCACGGACATGCTCACCCGGGTCACCCCAATCTCCAATACCATCTCCGACTCCGCGATAACAACAACAATCGCGTCCTCCTCCTCCTCCTCCCTTGAGCTGCGGCTGTTCCTGGCGGGCTGCACTTTCATGACGGCCTGTGTCTTGGTGACGATGTGGGAGAGTTTCTGGTTCATGCGGGCGAATCCAGATTTTGATGGAGAGACCATGGGGTGTACTTGAATTTCCTTGGTGTGTATAATAGTAAATGGCATGCGATGTAATGTTAGGCTCTGTCGCTGTGTGTGAGTCTGCGCTGCACATCGTTCTCGCGGTCGATACTCATGATACCGCCAGACAAATCCTCCGGAATGGAATAGATATACTTATTGATATGTAAGTCCGACCCGTCGACCACCGTCTTTCAGACGCTAACGAAGGTATCAGCGAGAATGTACCCATACAGCGAGAAAACCGACATCGTAAATTTTGGTAAGGCATCCAACCCATCACGATCATCAATGTTTGCGGGACTTGAAGTAGCCGTGAGTGACGTTGCACGGTTGCAGCACACACTCCGGGCACCGAGTTGTCACACACGCACCTCAATATCCTCCGACGTCATATCGGCCTCGCTCTCCGGGCGCGTGCCCATATCCACGCCCATATTATCAAGCTCAATCTGCTTCACCACATGCACCCGACCGCCGCCGCCGCCACCACCACCACCAAGACCGTCCACAGACACAGGCGAGGAGCCCGATCGTCGCGCGGAGAAGCGCGGCGTGCGGGGAAGGGGAAGGTTGATCGATTGCATGCCGTGAGAGGATTGTTTGTCGTCGACCCGTTTGCTGCGGCTGTTGAAGACCGCGACGAGACAGTTGGTGTACAGCTTCCCCATGATGGCCGTCCTGGGCGGGTCATTTCGGAGGCCGGTGGAAATTTAAAAAAGCAAGGACGTACGGTGGAACTACGAGTGTGGGCTGGGACTGCCAACGTTGCTGGTAAGTGGGATTTACAGGACTGGAAGAAGACATTTTCGACGTACCGGGACACCCCAGTAGAGAATCAACGCAATAACAGCGACACTGGCTGGAATGCGTCAGCGATGCGGAAATCCGGGCCCGCAGTGCCGCAACGCACCGGTCAGCGCATTGGTCTCGACGATCAAACGCAGGGCGCGCGTGATCAAGCCCCTCGTCGATGCCAACGAGCCGTTCCGCTCGTGCAACAGCTGCTGCGGTGTCCATCTCATATATCGACATGAATCAGGTTGTGACGTACAGTCCAGGACAGCACACCGGCGATGGATACGTCTGCGATCGCCCCGCCGACTAGCCAGATCTACGAGAATACCCATGAGCTCAGCGTGGATGCGCAGTAAGACTGATAAGTGGGCGCACAGTTTGCTGAGCCACTTCGGTGCCGATCAACGAGATCTTGCCGAGCTGATGCGCCTAGCGCGAAATGTCAACGTAGTCAGCTCGCGTAGTGTTTTCACAGGCATACCCGGACGCCCGTCGCAATGCCCGCGCCGCACTGGAGCAGCGCAACGAGCAGAATCGCGCCGGGGATGACGTAGCTCTTGCGCAGGTACCAGATGCGCCAGCAGTAGAACGCCTGCACGACGAGCGAGATGATGGCGTCGAGGACCGGGACGTCCCACGAGTTGAGGAACGTGTCGTTCAGCCGCGCCATGTCGCCGAAGCCGAACACGAACCAGTGGAACGCGTCCGCCGTGACCATCGCCGTCTGCACCGCATCCAGCGCCGCGAGCGTGTACACGAGCGCCTTGACGAACGGCGGATCCCGCGGGAACGCTTCGAAGTAGTTGTCTGCCGCGGCGGGGTGGGGTTGGTATGCGGCGGCGGCGGAGGCAGCGGGGAAGGGAGGAGGACGCACATATCTGCACGACCATGACGCCCGCCAGACCCCAGCTCAGACATATCCCCACCATCTCCATTACGCGAGTGCCTCAGCAACGGCGCTGCGTGCACCTAAGGGGGAGGAGACGCACTGTGGGCCCGGTACTGGCGTGCCATTGCCGGTGAGTTTGTGATCAGAGGCTCGGTGCGACGGCACGCACATGAATGCGATATCCAATGGGATCGGCGGGGCGGTCGACGCAGACATAGCTCTCGGAAGGCGGGAAGAAGGGAGGAGGGAAGGAGGAGCAAGGTAGCGGAAAGAAGTCAGAAGCACCGCGAAATATGTATTTGCAACTGTTTGAATGTTTGAAGTAGTGACACACACTCCGATGTAGCCCACTTCCGTTAGCAGTGGTGAACCGTCAGAATTGCCGATCATCTTCTAGGTGAGTGTAGGCATTATTTCCGTCCCCTCGCTGATCTTTATCCAACGATTCTAGCTCTTGTCCCCGAACGAACAAGAATCACATCTTTCCATCTGATCCGGCCCCCATTCCCCGCGATGTCAAGGCCCAGCGTATACGCACGACGACCCTAGGAAAGTTGAAGCTTTTCCAGGATGGATCCCGGCTCGTTAACGCGTTTCCCGAGTATTCAGGCAAGCGCCCACTGAGGCGGAGTTCGTCGGAATTTAGGACCCGGCAGCCGACAAGACTGATTGGCGGTTGTGCCTCTGGCTAACACCGCTGCGACGGTCGGTGATTTGAGACGAGAAGTGGGGAGGGCGGACTCTGCACATATACTTAGGTAGATGTGTTGCTTCAAAAGGATTCCACGCGATGGTTAACGCCGTGGGAAGCCCATTTGAAGTGTAATCGGCACGCTTCGTAACTACGAGTGACCACTCGAGGGACTCGTAGACTCACTACTTGGTTTAAAGTTCTACTATCACAAAAGTTGAACAGTGTGAAGTTCCCAACATGAGTCCATCTTCTCAAATTCACTGTAGGAACTGCTTTGATCATTCCCATCGTACACGCTCTTTGGGCTGCTTTATGAATCTCCTCAAAGAATTTCACGTGTATCAGACCAAACAATACTGTAAAACTAATAAGAAATGCCGGTTTGTCTGCTGATTTACTCAAAAGATCAATTTGCTATGTTGTAAGTAATCCATACAACAGATGCGTTCGAGAACACTCGGTCTCCTCTACGCTCTATCTATACGTGAGAGCCGATGCTGTACACCCAAAGAAAACGTCCAGTGGCGGTGGTGGTATATACAGTAGATACATTCAAATCCCACACCCAAACACGATCCACGATCCATGCTTCAATGTTTACGGAACTGACGACCAGTTCCAGTAAGCAACATACTATCTTAGAGCGACGAATTTTACCGACCTCGATATCTTCCGAAGCCATGTCCGTCTCGCTCTCGGGGCGCATATCCATGCCCATGCCCATGCCCAGCTCCATCTCCTTCACGACGTGGATCCGCACGCCCCCCAGGTCGTGCGCGGACCCGGATCCCGAGTCTGCGCGGCGCGTGGCGGAGCGCGGGGGGCGGGGCAGGTTGAGCGACTGCATGCCGTGGGCGGAGTTGCTCCCGGCGAAGTTTTTGCTGCGGTTGTTGAATACCGCGATGAGGCAATTGGTGTACAGTTTGCCGATGATGGCCGTTCTTTGGGGGGACCGTCAGTCGGGCTGCGAAAAAGATGATCGGAAAGAGGGCGGGCGGGCTCACGGGGGAACGACGAGTGCGGGATGGGCCTGCGTAGAAGAGTGATTAACCCTGCCGGTGCTCAACAAGGTATAGACGCACGGGTACGCCCCAGTAGATAATCAGCGCGATCACTGCTACGCCGGCTGGAGGTGTGTCAGTCACCTGGCGATGATGCCGGAATAGGGCAGGCGCGCACCAGTCAGTGCGTTCGTCTCGACAATCAGCCGCACTGCGCGCGTGATCAGACTCTGCGTCGTCGGCAACGAGCCTTTGCGCTCGTGCAAGAGCTGCTCGGGCATGGATATCACATGACAGATCGCTGATCCGCCGTCACGCACCGTCCAAGAGAGCACCACCGCGATCGCGACGTCTGCGACGGCCCCGCCCACCAGCCAGATCTGCGCGCAGAAAGATGAGCTCAGGTTCAGGCTCGGCTCCGTGCCGCGTGAGGGTGGAGCAGGAGCGAAGCACGGACCGTTTGCTGGGCAACCTCGGTGCCAATCAGGGAGAGCTTCCCAAGCTCATGGGCCTAGACCGACATAGGGGGAGAGAAGACAGAACGCGCCAGTCAGGATGGGGGAGCTTGCGTAATGTTTCACAGGCATACCCGGACGCCCGTCGCAATGCCCGCGCCGCACTGGAGCAGCGCAACGAGCAGAATCGCGCTGGGGATGACGTAGCTCTTGCGCAGGTACCAGATGCGCCAGCAGTAGAACGCCTGCACGACGAGCGAGATGATGGCGTCGAGGACCGGGACGTCCCACGAGTTGAGGAACGTGTCGTTCAGCCGCGCCATGTCGCCGAAGCCGAACACGAACCAGTGGAACGCGTCCGCCGTGACCATCGCCGTCTGCACCGCATCCAGCGCCGCGAGCGTGTACACGAGCACCTTGACGAGGAGGGGATCGCGGGGGGAAGATTCGAAGTAGTTGTCTGCCGGGCCAGGGGAAATGCATGAGGAGGACGAGGGGGAGAACGGAGCGAAAACGCACATATCTGCACGACCAAGACGCCCGCAAGACCCCAGTTCAGGCAGATCCCCATCATCTCCACCGCGCAAATCCCTCAGCCACTCCGCTCGGTCGACCGTCCGAGAAAGAACGCACCGTTGGCCCGGTACTGCGCGCGGCCGGGTCAGCTCACGATCGGACTTTTGTTCGCTGCGGGTACGCACATGAACGCGATATCCGCCGGGATCGATGAAACGGACGGCGACGACATGCCTCTTGCCAGGCGGAAGTGAGGAGCGGGGGAACACAGATGACGGTAATAATAAGAGCGAAGCGAAACAGTGTGTTTTATGCACCGCGTCGCATTTTGCAGCCGCTCGTGTGAGTTTTCAGGCACCCAGGGTGGCCGCTGACGTCCGCATGTGAATCGGACGCATCGGCACAGGTCGGCGTCCGCCGACGGCAGATACCGCTGATAACTGGCTATCTAAGTTCCGCTATCTGTCAGGGGAGTCGCGATCTTCTTTCAGGACCCCTGATATCGACGGCAAGATTGGGCTTTGGTTTGCAGCGGTAAGGCAACACAGGTCGCTCAATCTCTTAGACCGTCTTGTCAAAAATCAGGGGTTGCTAGGGGATTTCAGGCTTCGTTCTGGGCCACATCTGGCCCGAGCGGCAGCGGACACCCTCAGGCAACATAAACCGACCCTTGATATGGATGGAGGTGCTTGCAACTCGGAAGCGTTTGAGAAGGGTCCTCCTCAAAACTGTTGGTGCGTGTTTCAGCATTTGCACTCGAGCCCAAGTTCTTCTTCGCGAGCTACGCTAATAAACACTGAGTCCTCCGGATCCATGCCGGAGCATGAGCTCGAAGCCGATTGGCGAACTATGCCCTAGATTAAAAACGGAGTAAAGCATGCGGGGCGCTGATGTGCGGCAGGACGCACCATATTGGGCCTCGATGAACAGAGGCGCAAAAATCGCCGCGCGAAATAACGACCAGAGGGGTCCTATGTACTTCTTGAATCACAACTCAAGTATCACATCAGGCGAATAAGAAAAAGAGGGCTTACAGAAAGTTAACCGTCTCGACCATCCATGTTCGATCATGCATTAAGGGGGAATCGAACCCCCGGCGGGTCGAGACACTTCTGTGCTCAATATGGCAACGACCCAGGTTACCACTACCCCATTAATGCGCGATTTTCAATCGGCTGAATTCCTGGTAGGAGGTGATGGCTCCCTCTGAGAGCTTGTCAGGATTATCCTTGCCAACATTACGGAGTTTCGACACCGAGAGGACACAAAGTGTTGCGAGCGCGAGTAGAGACGTACATTCACTCGTCGCTTGCGGACTTCATATTCAGCGTGGTTCTTGCGAAGCAGCCAAGACATGAGAGTGTCTCATTGCCCGGGAAAGTCGTCTTCTGCGCGAAACAATTCATCGGGGTCCAGAAACGGAGCACATTTGCCCTGATAAATGCGTCCAAACGGGCAACCTCTACCAAGTCGCTGCCCTCTTCGGCCTCGCTGAGACCCTGAAAAATGACTGCAGAGCGCCTCAAAATTCGACGAGTGATCATCCCAAGGGTGGCCTGTTCGTGCATTCGAATCGTGGAATTGGGTCAGAATTTGAAGTGCTCTGTATGGGAGTCCGATACCTTGTGTGAAGTGCGATTCAGAGCTCAATGACCGTGAGGACAGATCAGATGTATCGTGGAGGTTTTTGGATTCCTCTCAATTTATGAGCTGTGGAATGTGTAAAGTTCAGTGAAGAGCCAACATCACCAGCTATGTTGATCCAGCAACGTCAGCAGGAATCAGCTCGCTGTCAGAGGCAACGGGGCAGATATGTCGCACAGGCTGCGAGGACATATTGTATCGTGCTTGTGTCAGCGGTGGGAGGCCGACCCCCTGCTTCGTCGAAAGCATTAGATGTCGGGAGAGACCCAACCCCATCACTGAAGCGCGTCGGCAGGTTGTTCGTCCGGCGTTTCCGAACGTCGCCGAGGGTGTTAAGGCAGCGCTTGACATGGTCAGAGCGATAAGATAAGGATATCAGTGGCGTCATCGCTGCCAGTCGTGGTGAGAGATCCCGTCGAAGCCCAGACCAAGCTCTGCTGCAATGACACCACGGGAGCACAGCGACAATGATCCAGAAGCTCGGCGGAGTTTGTTATGTGAAGGCTATGTCTAGGTCCGGATATCAGATCTGAAGCCGCGTTCGAGCTGAATCGATGAGTCCGCTAGATGCGTGTAACTCGGAGCGACGATGCTCCGGGCGGGGAGATGAGCATCGGAAATGCGGCTATGACTGAATTGCACGGCCAACATAATTGATCACAGCTAGAATGATACTACAATTGTACAGCTACGACGCAATCAGACCCTAGAACCGTACGATCCGGGGCGAAAGACTCACTTGAGGTTCCCAGGGCCGCATCACCCCCTCACTTCGCCTCCCCAACGAGCTCCTTCACGATCTCCACCGCGCGCTTGAACTTCGCCCGATCCCCCTCGGTCGGCTGCACCGCACTAGTCCCACCGGTCGTCCCCGCCGGGCCGCCGTTGAACCACTCGAAGCCCTCGCTCACCCACGCGATGCTCGTGTTCAGGCCGTAGATGTCCTCGCTCCCCGTCGGCTGTTCGACCGGGATCGCCTGCAGGATCGCGTACAGCTCGTCGACGAGCGTGTCCGTGCTGGGCGCGTCCCCCGCGAGCGACGTCGGCGCGCCGTCCTGCAGAGCCGGCGTCCCGTCGGGGCGCACGGCCGTCGTGATGCTGATGTTGGAGAGCCCCGAGGTCTTGGTCAGCGTGTACACCGAGTCGGGCGTCGGTGGGGCAAAGCCGCCCACGATACCTGGTCTCGTTAGAACGTCGAGAGGATATCTCAATGGCATTTCGAGCATACCGTGTTGGAGGCGAATGAAGTACTCTGCAGGTGGCATGGTAGTAGGAGCAAAGAGATGTGGATGGATCTGCCTGATATCAGTCAGCGGGATTGAAGGGTGACTCCGCGGCAATGTCCGGGTAAAGTGATAGATAGTTAGTAGGCCCCCAGCTACCCCCTACAAGGTCAGTCCGCCTCAAGAGGCTGATTTGCACTACCAAATCGGCTCTCTGAGCGTTGATTTGTGCTATTTCCGGTCTGAGGTTCACCTATATTTCGGTAACTTTGGAGCTTTTCGTAGTGTTATGAGCAAGTTTCCGTCCAATTTTTCCGCCTCTAAGGCTCGGGCGCGTTCCACAGGATCTGGCTTGCTACAAGAGGTGAACGGCCTAATTTCAACTCTCCTCGGGCATCAAAGGACAAGGGCAAATGCGAAAAAAATTGCGGTTTACCCCCGCGATTTGCACTATTTCGGCCTGAGATTTAGTGTTTTCGGCCTGATTTGCGCTATTTTTCAGACTGAGGTATGGCCATTTTTGGACCTTGATTTGCACTATTTCGGACTGAGTCAACAGGTAGTTCCAGGGGGCCTTATTGGGTCGCTCCGTCACAAACCAAATGGACCTTTGAGGTGTCAAAGAACAGATGGCCGGGGACGTCTTTTGAATGGAGCAAAAAAGGTTGTCTTGCAGCACAGAGCTGAGTAGGTCTGCATTAAGGGGGAATCGAACCCCCGGCGGGTCGAGAGACCGTAACAGAATTTGATCTGTATGGCAACGACCCAGGTTACCACTACCCCATTAATGCCTGAACACGTCCAATGGAGTGGATTTTGTAGTTTCAATATTTTTTGAAAGCATGATCAGTGGCTTATCAATGAATCTGTCAAGATCACTGCCTTGTGTACAAGCTGTGTATACAAACGAAAGTAGACGATCGGTGCGCGAGGTGTGCGGGTTCATGAACTTCACCACAGCTTGCTGAAGAACCCAATCGCTTCCGGAACTGGATATGGGAGTTCATTCTCATATCGCAGCGACAAGCTCCCATAGACCGTCTCTACATGCGCCTCATCACCCCGCCAGCCCTCTGCGTCTGTAGAGCGCGGGATATCACCCACGAAGTACTTCCGCACGCCGTTGATCTCGCTGACAGTCGTCAGTTCGCTCGTTAAAGGCGCCGAGAGCTTGAACGAGCCATATTGCGTCGCGACGGTCAGTGGGCCGTTGAAGGAGCGAGGGAAATCGACTTGCAAGGAGCGATTGGCCGACCGAGCATTCAGGTGGATTCGCGGACGGGCGGCGTCGGCTACATATGCGGAGCGGTGCGTCAGACTTCAGGAAGTGGAGAGGGAGGTTGGATAGGGTCACGCACTAGCTTGACATGCACAGAGCCGTAATCAGAGTCGCAGAATAACAAGACGGGGCGTTCGATAGTGTCGTCTCCCACAATGAAGAGGTCGATTTTGACAGAACCGGTAGAGCTGTGGAAAGACGCATTCCGCCTAGTCTCCTCTGTCTCACCGGGACCCAGTGGGGGAAGATGTGCCGCGGATAGCTTTATACGCGGGTCGATGACGAAGGAGCCGCTGATCGACTGGTGGCTTCGGGAGAGGGTCAGGAAGTTCGTGGGGCGGATGTGCGCCGGTGGAGTCGAAGCACTGGGAGTACGCGGAAGAGGGAGATCTGGCGCGGCCGCATCGCGGGACTTGTCGTCTGAAGGAAGACTTGTATGAGAGAGACTGGAAGATTGAGCGTACGCGGGTAGAGCGTTCTGCAGGAGACTGGTGAGTGTGATGCATGCGGCAGAAGTCGACCTCGGCACGATTCACCTCGACATCTGGCGTGATGGTCTCCTTCTCGTCTTTCAAGATCACAGCAGTAAATGACACAGAAGACACGGATCGTGCCCCGTCAGTCAAGTTCTGACCTCTTTATCAGCGTTGCGCAGTACACGTGGGATCCTCCCGCGGTTGCCAAGTATTGCAGGCGAGTGTACCCACATCGAGGCACGGAGAGCGCGCAGGATTGGCCATAGAATGAGGGCAAACACTGGTTTAGGAGAAGGTGGTCTGGATATTTGTCCCATATTGGCGTTCCATCACTACTCATTCAAGCTCCTCCCTCCAATGCCAATGACTCTAGCTCTGAGCACCACTGCCAATGCGATTCTCCTATCACATCGTTTTGCATCATCAGAGCTCTATTGACCCCCTGGGCAGCAAACTAACGATATGTGCCAAGTAATACATACACAGATGGCTGGCTATCTTAGACCGTACCCCCGATTGTACTCAAAGAGGCACGTTTTGAGCTCACAAAGGTACCTCAATCAGTGGAGTGGTCAGACATGAGAGCTTATTACAGTAACTCTCAGAATGACCAGAGACGTTTTCCCCGTTGAGGTAATCACCGCAAGCGAAAAAATCACTGATCTCAGTCATCTCTGAAGCAGCTGTGATACTGAACAATGATGAGCTCCATAGGCGTCAGAGACCCAGTCTTCTCAGGCTATGTCATGGCTTTCCTCCACACTGACCGCTGCTTGTGAACAATTCTGGGATGATCACTGCCTAGTGTACAAGCCATGTATACAAATGAAAGCGAAAGATCGATATGGGAGGTGTACAGCTTCAGAAACCCCACGACAGCTTGGCGAAGAACCCCTTCCCCTTCCCCTCTGGAACCGGAGGCGGCGGCTCGTGGTCGAACCGGAGGGTCACGCTGCCATTGGAAGTCTCGACATGCGCCTCGTCCCCCCGCCAGCCCTCTGCGTCCGTGTAGCCCGAGAAGTCGCCGACGAAATACTTGCGCACGCCGTTCGTCTCGCTGAAGGTCGTCAGTTCGCTCGTCAGGAGCGCCGAGGGCTTGACCGAGCCGTTGCGCGTCACGACGGTCAGGAGACCGTTGAAGGAGCGGGGGAAATGGACGTGGACGGGGCCGTTGGATGACTGCGCAGTCAGTTGGATTGGTGGACGAGCAGCGTCGGCTGCGTGCTGCGGCGCGGTGCGTCAGGCTCCAGGAGGTCCGGGTGAGAGGGCGCACGCACCAGTTTGGCATGCACAGGGCCGTTCTTCGATTTGACGAAGAGGAGCACTGGTCGTTCGACGGTGTCGTCTCCCAAAACGAAGAGGTCGACCTTGACAGAGCCGTTCGCACTTTGGAAGGACGCATTCCGCCGCGTCTCTTCCGTCTCACCGGGGCCCAGTGGTGGAAGATGCGCTGTGGGGATCTTGATGCGCGGGTCGATGACGAAGGAGCCGCTGATCGAGTCGTTGCTGCGGGAGAGGGTGAGGAAGTTCGTCGGGCGGATGTCTGTCGGCAGAGTCGGAGCGCCTGGCGTAGGCGGCAGAGGAGGATCTGTCGCGCCCGCATCCTGGGACTTGGCGTCAGAGGGGGTGGTTGCAGGAGAGAGACCGGGGGATTGGGCGTATGCGGGTGGAGCGTCCTGTAGCTAGTGAGTGTGAAGCACGACGAAGTGGCAAGACGACGGACATCGACCTCAGCGCGATTCACCACGACATCCGGCGAAATGACCTCCTTTGCGTCTTTGAGGATCATGGTGGTGGATGGGAGAGACAGGCCGTCCTTGGTTAGTCCAGGCCTGACCTCGTCAGTCTTTATCAGCGCTGCGCAGTACCACGTGTGATCATCCCGCAGCGGCCAAGTACTGCGGCCATATCGACGCTTGTAGAACGAAGGATCCGCAGAGGAGAGCTTCGACTGCTGTTCATTTTGAACAGTATTTCATATAAGTGTCTGGGGGGAGGTGAGGGCAAAAGCTGTTCTGGCGCAGGCCCGGATATTCGTGCCGTATTCACGTGTCATCACCAGTGATTCAAGCTCCGCCACTTCATCGTCCGGGCCTGTTTCGATCTCCCTCCAGTAACGCCGCTTGCGAGTACTAATGCCAATGCAATTCTCTTCTCACACTATCGAGTGTCCCCAGAGCTCCATTGACCCCAATGGCGTCAAGCTGAAAATGTGTGCCAAGCGCTACACAGCCGGCGGAAATGGGACGGCGGACGCGGGCAGCGACGGATTGACACTGCTGTTTGCGCACTGCATTGGAGCTCGTGAGTCCATTCTTAGAAGTGAATTTCTGATGGGATTGAAGCCGGCAGACAAGGAGATATGGGAATCCGTCATCGAGCGACTTTTCAGCCTGTCCGGGGGGCGAGTCGCCGAGGCTTGGTCCTTTGATTGGCAGACGCACGGGGATTCGGCGGTAGTGAATCGCGAGACGTTTGAAAGAAGCCCTGGGAGAGCACATACTGGAGTGAGTAAGTGGAGAAGTCACATCATGTCCCCAGTCGTGGAACTCATCCCTGTAGCTGCGGCGGAATGGGCTGCCGGTGTGTCCGCCTTTATAGACGGACCGTTAGCAAAAGGCAAACGATTGGTCGGAATCGGTCACTCTGCCGGTGGTGGTGCAATGTGAGCTTGTCTTCATTCCCTGAACATCCGTTTACTCATTTACGCCAGGGTCCTGACGAATGTGAACCGACCTCTCCGTTCACTCCCCTTCGTCAGCCTCATCCTCATCGAACCGAGCATCATCCCGCGGGAGCTGTTCTATCAAGAGATTGAGGAACGGGTCTCGACCATGGAATTTATTGTCACTGCGACCGAGTCGAGGCGAGAGCGGTGGCGGTCTGCGGAAGCGGCGTACACCTGGATGCGGAAGCGGGTGCCATGGGAAAGCTGGGACGAGAGGGTTCTCCGGAAACTGACGGTGTGCAGAGATCCGCTTTCTCGGTTTGTTCCGCCGCTGACAGCTGATCTGAAGGAACATGGCCTTGAAGGGCCGTCTGACGGTGGGGTGACCACGAAGCTCGATCGGAAGCTGGAGGCGCTTGGGTATACCGACGTTGAGTCGCACTTCCTCGCGCCGGTAGAGCTGGGCAGGATATGCGATTCAGTGCCTGTGCACTTCGTGTGGGGCAGTGAATGTTTGGTGTGAGTGATCGCTTTGATCCAACGGGGGCCAGGAACGACTATTTACAGTCCTGAATTTGTACAACGCGCGTTGACCGACGGAACAGAAGGACGGAAAGCTACGTCAGTCTCTACCGTTGATGGGGGGCACCTGGTGAGCAATAATTCCCTTGGTTCAATGAAATAAACTCAAACAACTTGTTAGATCGTGCAGGAGAATCCAGATGGCACCGCTGACGCTATATGGAAGATATTATCTACTTCGACTTTGCCTCCGACCCCACTGGGCAAACTTTGACTTTATCTCCACATTCATTGTACCTGTCACAGATACCTATTGTCGCACACATCCAGGAACCTCTCCGTAAATCTATTGTGTGGTGACGCGGTCAATGGTCTCGATCACCGATCGCGCCATTCAAAACGGCGATCATGCGCACACGTGACCGCGACACATTCTCTCCTTTCCTTCTTACCACATTTCTCGGCCTCCACATTCGCTTGGTATTCTATTGTATCTTATTCCCCCAGATCTCGGATGGCGGACCCGGATTTCAATTCAAGGCACGATTGCGAAGAGCCGGGCTTGGGCGAGTCGTGGGTTATCCTTAACCGTGACGAGTGTTTTCTGGAGGCGGCCACCATTGGGGAACCAAGCGTGCAAGGCGGGGCAAATCTGATTTCGTTCGACTCTGGTGTGTGGTCTCTCACGTCACCGGGCCTCACTCGGACTGACACGGACCACGCGCTTAGGCGATATGGCCTTCCTCGCCGCGTCGGGCGAGAGGAAGCAGACGCAGGCCACGACGATCCCACGCTCGGACCCGGCCTCCGGCGCGCGCCACATCACGCTGCTCGACCTATCCCCGGCAGACGACCTCGCCCCGCCCGCCGACGCCGCTGCCGGGGTCCGCTCGAAGCCGCCGAGCGAGAACCCGAACGTGTACATCAACGGGCTGCCGCCGTACTTCCGCGACGAACAGCTCATGGCGATGGTGCGCAATTTCGGGGAGGTGGTCAGCGTCAAGTGCTTCACGCGTCAGACCGCGCGGGCGTCGGGGTACGGATTTGTGTTGTGAGTTGCCGGGTGCTCTGATCGGCGGCCGAGTGGCGAGTCTCATTGCGACGCGCAGATTCAAGACTATGGAGGCGGCGGAGAAGTGTATTGAGACGCTGAAGAAGTGCGACTTGCATCCGTCGCTCTCCAAGGCGCGTTATTCGTGCTCCGGTTGCTCGAATCTGACAGACCTCCACATGAATAGGTCAATAAACCTCCTCGCATCATATGCAACCCCGCTCCTGCTATGGCTCTTGACCAAATGCCGAGCACGTCGTCCTTGTCGTCTGTGGCGTCCTTTGACAGCTTCACGTCGAGTGGGAGCGGGTCGTGTAAAAGCTTGAAGGACAAGCTCGCGGAGTTGGAGGATCGCTCGAGTGCGAATGTGTACATTGAAGGGTGTGTTATTCTTTCGCTTGCGTGGTCTCAGTCGTCTTATGTTCTGTTGCTCAGTATTCCGCTTGGCTCAGACAAAACAGTGAGTGTCCTACGTTTCACTGGGGTTCATTCATTCATCGCGCAACCTTCGCAGACTCTTTTGGAGCTTGTCTATCCCTACGCGATCCGAAGCTCTCGGTTCATCACCAGCAAGGTCCCGAATTCGAAGACGTTGATCGCATTTATGAGGTCCGGGTCGCATCATTCCAGCGATGACAATCTCTGACCTCTGGAAAATCCAGGATGGAATCCAGAGATGCGGCAGAGAGCATCATCAACCGCTTGAACGGAAAGAAAGTGCGCTCGTGGGACGGGATCGAGAGTCGTATATTCCTGCGCATTGCGGATACGCTTGATCAGCGAGAGCTCAGGGTGCGTTTTCCTTCTTGATTGAACCTCCGAGCCCGATTTTGACCGCAGTACAGAGAAACGAATCTACGATTCGCGACGATTCAGGTCACCCACTGACGATCGCCCACGCAACGCTGTTGAATTATCATGCTCTCGAGTCGATTGCTCCCCCTACGCTGGCAGCACCAAACAGGACTCTCGTAACTCCGCCTCCCCTTTCTTCGAACTTCCATACGAATACCATCTACACGACGACCCCGGCTCCTCCCGGCACGATCGATATCCATGAGCTTCTCGCTTCCCGACGACGACAGCTGATAAGCGGCAACGACCGACACGTTGACCCGACTGCCTTCTACGCGCCGTATAACATGAACACCTGCACCGGCAATCCTCCGGCGCACTCGGCTGCAGATATGGTTTCTCTGTCAACTTTCATGGCCGTGATGAAGTCGCAACGGGACATTCTACCGCAATTCCCACCGCAACCACCGCTTCTGCCTATCGGACGTAATGTCATGGCTCCCAGACGCTCGTCCGTAGCACAGACGCCGGCGTCCAGTTTTGATTCACCGGTGTCCCGTGTTCTGAGTGGGAACGTACCGCTCGGAGTTAGGGCCGGCCAGCCCGGTCCCCACCCCGAATACAAGCCTGCTTCTGGGTCGTCGTTCCAGTCGCGGACGGGGACGGGCACACCGACGCCCCGGGACTCGCTGGATTACTGTCGTGACAAGAGTCCGCCGGCGTTCAGTCCGCACTCGGCTGTGCATGCTCGATGTCGGACTGTCCCGAGTAACCGGCATTCGGTTGCGTCTGTAACGCGCGATTCTTCTTCTGCTGGTGCTGGTGCTGGTGGTGGTAGGGTTCAATTTGGGGTTGATGGCGGTGTCGAGGGGCATAAACGGGCGGCGTCGACGTCTGGTCCTGCTTTTGGTATTGGTGGTGCGCCTGGCTTGAACCGCGTGTGGCTGGGACCGAGGGAGGTCCAAGTCGGGAACTTGCCTAGTGCGACTGCACGGCTGTGATTTTGATCAAGGAATGTTTTCGGTCCGATGTATGGTTCTAGTGGTTCTAGCGGTATTGGGTTTTCATCTCTAGCGATATTTTTTGTAGTTTTGACTAGCCATGGTTGTAGTATATATCATTATCTCTCCGTTTTGCATTGAAACTGTTCGGAAACTATGAGTTTGAGTGCGTTTTGCGCTTCCTGATCTTGTTACATCTAATCTCCATCTAATCGTGATTGATCACTGCGCCATTGCGGATCTTCCTTTCTCTGTTCGCCCAATGAGCGGAGTGTTTGCAGTATTCGATCAGGCTGAGCATGCGATCATCAGAACGCCGGGGGCTTGACAAGTGACTGCGAGCGTTTTGACGGGCAGCAAGGATCAGGAACAAGGACACGCTTATTGAGATGCCTATCTAGGTTTTATGTAAATCACTCGTGGTTCTTCGCTGGCCTATGGAGGCTCGGAGCATCACGCTTTTAAGCGAGACTTGGAGATCATGTCCGATTGATTGATTGATGATCGGTCTTGCACTAGAGATGGACCCCGGAGTCGTAAAGCATAGTATTCATAGTACATGGCGACATAGGTAACATAAGTAGGGTAAGTAAATGTTGCATAGATGAGGATAAAAGTGGCGGCTCTCAAGTGTCGTCATCCATGGGAGCAATGAACGGCGTCATTCCAAATGCATGACAGTACTCATTGCATGCATGCTCGGATTCAAACTTGCTGAACACCGAAGGAACATTACCTCCGCCAAAAACCTCATCCAGAGTCAATTCGCTGCAGCAAGGATGAGTAACAAGAAGCGCGGAAATCGGACAAATGGGCGCACGGGGAAGTCATGACTTGAGCATCTGTCAGAAGCGTTGTAGAGCCTGAGGAAGTACCACATCAGTATGAGACTGAAATTGGAGAGTAGAGAGCGAACCTTGATAGTCAGAGAGGAACACAAGGCCTCCAGACTTTGTGTACTGATAATGCTGCGTGAAGCACAGAAATTCCGCGATATAATAGCCCGGATCGTCTTTCTGCAACGCAGGCTTGGCTTCGCTGTTATGAACAAACTTCTTGAACTCTCCCGCGACTTCGAGGGGAATCAACTCCTCCAGAAGGTACGTCCTCGTCAGGGAAGTCACATTGGCCACTGCATTACCCGAAACTCCCTTGTGAACCTGACCCATAGCTGCATCAACGAAGCGGAGATCAGGAATAACAAGCGAAGGAGGAATCTGCTTGACAGCAGACCGAACGCGGTGTGAGACAAAGGACATGGCCGACATAAAGAGAGCCTGACTCCAAAGATGGACATTGGCCTCGATCATGGTGTCGTCATATTCATCCCGACACCCAAGACGAATGAGAGAACCTTTAGTGCTCCGTCCGCAGAAAAGGCGCTTGACGGCAATTTTCTGGTTCCTGATCCGACCGAGTCCTGATTGGGACAGCGGTGTCATTCGAAGCCACCCAACATGAGCATCCTTGAAACTCCCAACCCCGAGACGCTGGGAAAGATCGGTCGAAAGCGTGCCCAGTTGGGCCTGCGCTTGGTCGCATTCAAAATATGGCTTTGGGGATGATGATTTAATGCTCGCTTCTGGTGAAGTGGCCACACAGCTAAGCAGATTGTTTAGGGTACGAAGAGGGATTTGGAAAATGTGAATCGATTCGGTAATAGGAATCCCTGTCCGATGTGGTGAGTGATGTCAGGACAGCCAATACAATCAAGTCAGCACTCACTGCCGTGTTTGTTCATTGCACGGCTCCCACCCGCAATCAAAGCTTCCCGAAAGCGTTGTTGGTCGGGCGACTCGTGATCTGGCACCGCACGCTTGAGGCTTCGAGGTGGAGTTTGAGGGCGCAAGACGCTGCTGTGCGAACTAGAAGTCTGAGATGAAGACTGGATTGTGGGTCGACGAATCAGGCAAGATTCTTCTTGTTAATGGGATGAACTCGCCGTGAAGATGGCTGGTCTTAAGCCAAATTGCGCCTCCGAAAGACTGGTTTCATCCATTGACTCCGAGTCCTCCTGTAAGGTGAGATCAGTGAAGTGATAATGTCGGATAGGAAGACAACTCACATTGATTGATTCGGTCTGAGTTGATTCAGTGGTAGATGCGGAAAGTGGCAATTGTATGGGTGCATTCGTCGACTGCTCAGATTCCTTGGCAGTGAATCGCTGCTACATAGTGCGAGTCAGCTGACTTTTGGTTCAAGTTGTAAACATGTGTACTCACATCCAACCAGTCATCGTACCGCTGCCATTCATCACATCCGATGACCAGAGCAACAACAGGGGGCTTCCGGGGTTTAGTGAACACAGGAGGGCCCTTTTCTTTACCCTTAGCCCTTGATATCTTGTAGCACAGGCTCTCGAGAACATGAGAATCAGCAGGTTCAATCTCGAGATTGACCCAGCGGTCAACATCTCGTACGGTCATGTGCTTCCGTTCGAATTTGAACGGTGCAACAGCCTTGTTTAGTAGCGGCATGACTGTTGAAACAGTCAGATCCAGTAATGTAGACGCAGTGACTCGGGCAGGGACAAGCAGCCCTTCACTGATAGTCTGGTAATCGATAAATAAGACATTGAACAGTGCCCGAGATACTTCTGAATACACGAACCTTGAACTGTTGCCCTCCCTGCTTGTTTGCCACCTCGTAACGAACTTGCGCAAGAATGTTAATTGTGTCAATAGACACACCGGAGGCCGCACTTTGGCCGACAAGAGCGCGGAACTGTTGGTAACTGGTGTGGTTCGAAGAGTATCCCGTGGACGGATTGAATGAAAGTGAGTTTGAGGGCGAGGGGCTCCGGAAGCTTCTAGCACCTGTGGCACCGCCAGGACAAGACCTATTAGTACAATATTAACCCTAGGGTGGCAGCATGAACTCACCTCCGCTCGGAATATACTGTGGCGGACCCATGGCTCCGCTTGAAGCACTAGGGTCTCGGGGAAGTGGGAGTATCTTCCGCTTCGAGTGAGAGACATCTGTGATCACTGAGTCGAGGCTCGAGGAAAAGTTAATGAGCTTCAAAATATACCACCAGTGCGTGCATGGATGTTTTGCTGCCGGATTTCTCGTGCCTTCTCATAGAGATCAGGCGCAGAACGTGAGTTTCCTGCTAGAATTGTGAGTCACACATGAGTCGAGAAGTTGTAAGCAGTAGGCGTACGAGCTTTTAGAGTATCTGGCTTCCGAACATAGTATTCGAAGCATGGCCGACAGACTTTGCGGCTGCCCAGAGCCGAGTTTTGATTTCCAAGCGCATGAGTTGCAATGCTGAGGCAGCCGTTCGCGGCACCGCGCCGGCTCTCGCAAGGCTGAAGGGCATTGGATTCGTCTGTGAAATTGACAAGAGGAAGATTGTTGTCAGTGGCCATGGCGAAAGTACGAGAATTTCAATTTCTTTATATACTAGCCAGCACACAAGGCTCGGGAATATTCTATACAAGATTTGGAACCGTCTGGAAGTGGTGAGTCCACTCTTAGCCAGTTTGATGACGTCAATAATGTTCAAAATATTCCCAGCGGCTGGAGTGAATCAGGATATAAATACTACTGCTCAGCGGCTGCGTCCATCGATGCTCCCCCAGAGAAACTCAAGCAGCTGAATCATCTCCGTCTCAAGTCGTCTTCTGATCATCCCCTTCCACTCGAGTCTGTCCCAGCAGAACTTTCGATGGGTGGCAATCAACATAAACCCAACCGTTTGTCCTATCACACTGTTTAGCTTATAAATTAACCGTAGATCTAGCTCCGCCAGAAGAACTAAAACCACATATTGAGCGGTACTGGAACATGCGTATGACCGACGAACAGATCCTCCGGCAGCTCAACGACCGTCACATTGATCAAACAAAGTATGGCCTTGGGTAAGGCACATCTTTCTCTAGTACACATCTTCGCTCCGAACTCATTGGCAGTGACAGGCTCACAAGATTTCGTAAGATTCGCAAGGCATTGGGATTCCTTGGCACCCGCCAGCAAGAGCATACAGTCGAGTCAATTAAGGACGCTATCTTGGACCTACGGCAGTTATATCCAAAGGCTGGTGGTCGGGACATGAAGCATCTGCTCTTCTTCGAGACGCAAGGCATGAAAGTTCCACGGTACGTCTCAAATAGCTCAACAAACTCGGACATTTCTGACGCATAACAAAGGTCTCTGATCATGGATTTCTTTGCCCTTCATGAGCCTGATCTTGTTCGTGAGCGGCGAAAGAACTGTCTGCGTCGCAAGAAATTTTGGGCAGCTGGTGTAAACGATATCTGGGCAGTGGATCAGCACGACAAATGGAAGGCGAAATTTGGGCTTGCCTTGCACACAGGTATCGACCCCTTCATTGGGTATAATCACTGGATTCGCATCTGGTGGAACAACAACAATCCACGTCTGATACTCAGCTACTATCTTGATGTGGTCGCAGAACTCAGATGTGAGTCTCCGTTCTCAACTTTGCATAGTTCTTTGACTTACATAGTCAAAGTCATGCCTCTTGTGACGCAAAGCGATCCCGGAACTGAGAACACCGGGATGGCGAACGCGCACACCATGCTCCGCCACCTTCATGATCCGAGTCTGTCAGGGACCAGTCAGCATCGTTGGATGCGAACGAAGAAAAATGTTATGCCCGAAATTTCGTGGAGCCAACTTCGCCGCCGCTGGACTCCTGGCTTCGAGGATTTACTGGATGTTGGTGTCAATGAAGGATGGTATGATCCTAAGATCCTGCTAGAGGCGTGAGTTTTGTTACTTATTTTAAAATTTTGAAAGAACTAACATGCTGTCAGACTCGTATTTCGATGGGTTTTCATTCCATGGTTGCAGAGTGAGCTAGACGCATATCGTCACCGAATAAACAACTCAGGAAAGCGTCTCGATCGCAACAAAATCCTACCTCATGGAGTTCCCACACATATGCTGGCACATCCCGAAGAATATGCCGCGCTGGATTTCAAGGTAAGTAAGCAGGTCGGGGAATTCTCCAATTGATATGATATTTACGTCGAGTTCTCTAGGTCCAGGTGAATCCAGAGCATCTCAGAGCCGTCAGAGAGTTCTACGCGCCAGCAGACCATCCCATTTTCCAGTTGGTACCACCGGAATTTGATGATGTCATCTCGGAGCTGTACGCAGAGATCGGAAAGCCTGTGGTGACGAAAGACAGCTGTTGGGACCTTTACCTGCGTCTTTTGGGTGCAATTCGACGCTTGGATTCCGCTCACGGTGTGGACGAGGGTTTTGATAGGAAATGGGGATATGCATTGGAAATGTCAGAGGACAACTACAAAAATGACGATATCGAACTATTGCCTGGGCTACAGGAGCTGCGCGACGTTGATGGGTATCTGGGAGGCGTCAATAATGGTCAGGGACTCGGTACGTGCCCATGCATTCTTCATATCCCCGTGTCCTATACTCTCCCGCAGATAGCACACACAACGACGCGCTTCGGCATTTGTTGAATGAGGTTGAGCCGCAGGTTGATCCTGAAGATTCTGAGGAGGCCCAAGAACATTATTTTGCCTGGTTCACAGACGAGGAGGAAGATGGTGGAGGTGACGAGTGGTAGATGGCACGTCTTGTCTAGTACATAGCTCACTGTTCCGTGTCGAGGGTACTGGGGTCCCATCAATCAATCAATCGGACATGATCTCTAAGTCTCGCTTAAAAGCGTGATGCTCCGAGCCTCCATACTGGCCGAAGGCACCCGGAACTTGCGGGTCTGTTGCAGCGTTTCGGTAATACATATGGCTTTGAGTCGGTTTACCCAGACAGTTCCAGAGAGCTCGTTTCGTGGCCAGAACAGTACCAGGCCGTCCGGCTTAGAGTCTGACTGATAGAGCATGACGTCCGATAATGGAGGTCCGGACGAGCCGTGAGTGGCACGCGTGGTAATCTGCCAAGCTTAGGCTGCGGTGAGTCAAAGTGACGGATGGCATCATCGGCAAGGGCCTTGACACGGCCCTCCGGCGCACATGCACGGATAGGCACTTACCCTATGACTGACTGGGACGGGTGCTTGGCTCCTGACAGCTTCTGCTTCCTTCCTTCCACCACCCCCCCCTCCGCTCCCACCCCCCGTCTTATGTCGGCCGACTCATGAACACTAGCATCGAGGAGATCCAGCCCGAGTTGTACGTGGCCGTGCCCATCACACGGCGCGGTGTCCGACGATCGTGCCTGGAGCTGACACGCGCACGCGCGCGCGTCCTTAGGAATTTAGCTTACAATTTGAACGCCGCCGCATTCGGTCCGCGAGTTGTCCTGCTGTTCGCCCCGCCGAGCCTACGTGACTGACCGACCGCGGCGTTTTCGCGCTTTCCCCTGCAGCGATCCTCTTCTACGACTACTTCCTCACGCTCGGATGGGAGATCTCGCGGTACTGGGGCACGACGGTGACGTGGCCGACGGCGCTCTTCTTCGCGAATCGCTACGGGACGCTGCTGGGCAACGTCCCCGTCGTGATACAGTACTTCTGGAGCACCCCGGGGTCGCCCGCGAAGGATGTGGTGAGTCCCGTGGGTCGTTGTGCGGGGGCCTGAGCTGAGCGGAGGCGGGTGGTGTCGTGCGTTGCAGATGTGAGCAGCTCAGATGCACGTGGATGGGTACGGGGCTGATCTGCGCGAATCGCAGATGTCGCGGGATCGAGTCGTACCACCAGTTCTTCTTCATCATCACGCAAGTCATGACCGCAGGTGCGCCACGCGTCTCTTGCTCGCCCCGCTGGTCGACTCATGTTTTTTTTCTGCTCCCGCCACACAAAGTGATGCTCATCCTGCGGACGTATGCGCTCTATGAGAGGAACAAGCGCGTGCTCATCTTCATGATGATGGTCACTGCGGGCGCGATTGTCGTGGGCATGGTGCGCAGTTCGTTCCGTTCCTTCTCACTCGGCTCTATGTTGAACTGCGCTTCTTGCCAGTGGGCCGTGATCGCCGGAAAAGCAGGCCGAACAGAGGAGAACCTCCAGTTGTATTTCGGCTGCAATTACGGGCTGACCAAATCAGAGTGCGTGCGATTGACCTTGATAGGGTGATGAGCAGTGATCCTGATTGTCTGCGGCCGCCACGGATAGTGCGACGAGTCAGGCGGCATCGTGGGCAGCGGTGGCGCTCTTCGATTGCATGATCTTCACGCTGACGCTGTACCGGGTGCTTTCCCGGCGGACGACCACGACGGATCTGTTTTCCGTTTTACTCAGGGACGGTGCGAAATTATTCATCCAGTTCTGCGCACAGTCACCTGATGTCGAAGCACTCAGGGTCGATCTACTTTGGGTGCGAACATTCACTGCCCAGATAACCGGATCGGATTGACGGCCACCCCTTATAGAGTGATTGTGATTTCGAACGTTTCTAATATCTTGACGTTCACTGTGAGTGTTTTCTGTAATGCACGAACGCAACTGAGTTTTGATGAATGAAGCTTGGAACTGTGCGCTAATCTATTGTCTCTGGCGATCTGTGGTTCCTTGACGCGATTACTGCAGCCGTATACGCGAGGAATCGCGACAACATTTACGAACATGTAACTCCCTGACGCCACCTGTCTCTGGGCGTGCAAACTTACCTCTCTACAGCCTATCTTCCGTTCTCATATCCCGTCTGATGCTCAATTTGCGAGACCCGAAGCTGTCTTATATGTCGGGCCGATTCGAGCAGAGCACAACGCTGACGTATGGCGGCCCCATCAGATTTGCGGACTCGACATCGCCGTCGGGCGCTCAGCCCTTGGATACCGAGTTTGCGATGGGTGCGACGATGTTTCAGACAAGGCTGCTGGGCGCGTTGCTGACCGGATGGACAGATATCGAAATGCTAAACACCACGTCAAACGCGGGGACCAGCAACCAAACGCCGGGTATGGCGTGAAAAAAGCTTGTCTGTCAGGAAATCTCATGTAGCCATGTCCAGTAGTACCCAATGTATCCAATCCAAACCGAATCGTTAATGCGTCGTGATCCTCATATCTGGAAGCTATATATTGATATATATCCAAAGAAAGAAAAAATCTGAACCTCGAGTCCGAATCACCGCTTTTGTTCCGCACAACGAACGGAGACCCCCGCACAGCGCAGTACCGCCTTCGAGTCCGCGTCCGGGACCCAGTTCCCGATCTGGTCGACATGGACACCGTACACCAACGTCCCGAGCAGAAGCGCGCCGAGGGATGCGTATATTCGACAGTCGCTGGTGCCCGCTGTCCACGGGACGAAGGCGGCGGGAAGGAGCTCCGGCCCATGTTCGCGGAAGAATAGGATGTATGACGCCGCGGAGAGGCCGATCGAACCTTGAGCCAACGCCAGCTTGCCCGTCGTCGATACCCGGCCGTTGCCGCCCCGGTCGTCCGCGCGGCACGTCTCGGTGACCAGCCGCACGGCCGCGTGCAGGGCGACGGTCGCGGCGCCGGCGAGCTCGGGAGAGGCGTGCAGGGCGAGCGGGACGGAGACGCCGGCGAAGAGCATCAGGAAGAGCGCGGCGGAGATGAGCTGGATGGGCAGCAGCGGCACGTGCAGCAGGCGCGGGTCCAGGCGCGTGGCGGCGTAGTCGGTCGGGTGGCTGTACCGGACGGCCGGGAAGGGCAGCAGACACCAGAGCCAGCTGCGCGACCCTTCCTCCACCGCGCGGCAGCCATAGCAACACCCATACGTGTGGCAGCCAATGCGCGAGAAGACCTCGTACAGCGGCAGCCCCACAGCGAGACTGGCCCCGAAACGCGCGAAGTCGGGCACGAGGCCGGAAGCATCCGCGACGGCTGCGCCGATCGCCGCGCCGAACATACCCCCATGGAGCCAGAACCCGGGCCGGAGGAGGGTTCTGATCGGACGCGCCAGGAGCTTCTTCCATCCATCCTCGAGGACGAGCGAGAACACGCGGGCGAAGAACACCGCGCTGAGGAGCGTGATGCCGAGGGCGCGTGAGAGCAGGGCCGAGTCGCGTGGCGTGGCGGGGGCAATCGTGAGAGTGACGAGCACCAACGCGGCGAAACCGAGCCCCATCAGCGGGCCATACGGGACGACGATGAGCCGGGGCGTGGTGGGCAGTCGCAGCTGGAGCGCAGGCCGGATGGTGGCGGGCTCGTGGCCGAGCTCGACGGCGGCGCGGACGGGCGACGGCGGTGGGCCGGACCGGATCCGAAAGATGCTGCACGACTGGCGGTAAACGTAGAGCGCACAGAAGGCACTGTAGAGAAAGAGGAGAGTGTACGCGTGAAGCTGCATGGGAATGGGCCGGGTGCGCAGGCCACCCGCGCTGTACACGAGGATCCAGGCCACAAACACGATACCGCTCCCGCGAATCAGTGCATATTGGGCAACATTGAAGATGTTCAGCCGCTGTTTCAGCGCACGCAGCTTGGGCGACGGCGTTTTTACGCTGTCGATGTATGACGCCAGCATCCACAGCAGATCGCCGGGCACTTCCGACACGAGCGTGGCAAACAGCGAGAGAAACAGGACGGTGGGCCAGCGGAAATAGAGGAACGAGAGAAGCGAGATAAGAGAACCGGTGTGATGGATGATATACAATGGGTACAGATCAAGCCGATTCAGCTCGGAGACCCACAGAATAGCGCGCGCGGTGATGCAGAACTTGGCATCGTCGTCCAGCACCCACACAGGCTCGTGCATACCGGGTTCGATCGCGCTCCAAGCGCTCCAGGCACCGCGGATGCAGGACGGGGTGGAAATCACGCTGATGAGGAAGCCCATGAATATCCCGAAGAAGACCATGTCCTTCCTGGACGCCCGGAGGTACTCGTAGAATTCCCCATCCCGTGCGCGGACCACCAGCCGGAGGAGCCGCTCGACAAAGTAATACACAGAGAAGAGAAGAATCAGCGCGTTGGCGTCCAGAGAGGAGTCCGAGATCATGGCCGGGGGTCGTGAGCGTGGGGTCGTAAGTTGGGGGGGGGAGGAGAGTCCGTTCCGTTTCCGTTTCCGTGTAGGGGAGGGAGGGTTCCGGGGCTGACTTGGGTGCACTTATATCAGCGCTCGGGGATCTGTCGTCGCGTATCATGAATGAGTGATTCTATCTGACACTTTCGCGCTTACCGCCACGTTCGGGATTTATGCCTGGAACCGCATGCGCTGAAAGCAACAGCGAAAGCCTGATGGATGGGTGGACAGCTCGATATGCCTAATCGATCGCACAGTCCCGTGCGGGTGTAACTAGTCCGCGAGCGGATGCGCGCCTGAAGATGGGTAGGCGATGTCTTGGAACGGCTAGAGCCATAAGGAGACTGTCCGTGATGATCAGTCAGGCCTGAGACCCGTTAGGATTAGATTCGTTCCCAGACCCGTGCGCCGCTTGGGTTTATCCGGCTGTTCCGCGGGCCAGCCAGCAGCTTGTCTTCCATGTTGTGTTGTTCTATTCGGCGACCCCTCCCATGGCTGACGAGAGAACTCCCGGGGGCAGTATGTCCTTGACAATGTGCTCATTCCCGTAAGTGTTCATCCACTCCTCCCCTGCACGCTGCGTGCCAAGCATACGTCTTCTTCTCCTTCGTTGAGGTTGAGTGGGTCCATCTGATACGGTGCCACATGGAAATGAATTGTGGGTGTCGGACAAGAGCGCGGTGTGTGAAGATCGAGACATATCGGGCTCGGCGCCAATGTCTTCGGACGCCACGTTTCTGAGGTGAGCCCCCGGGTTGTGCTCGCTAGGAAAAGCCGGCAGCGGTGACAGACAGTCACGCAGGGAGGCGATCGAGTGACTTCCCTCCATCCGGACGGTGTCATACTGTACGAGAGACCTGTGCACACCTTTTTCGGCTCACAACGACCAGCTACATATGCCATCCCGCATTCGAGAACACCGAAGCAGGCACAAGGCTGAAGGAGGTCTCGATCGCACCTGACACCAGCGCGGCCCCACTTCCGTGCGCTAGCGTCAAATACTCAAAAAACTCTAACCTGCGGAGCGCGGCCTGCCTGCACGAGTCCAGACCACACACCAACTGTTGACACTGTCGCGGTGTGCTCAATAGCGGATAGACGTGGACGAAAGCGGAGGGGTCCCGACCGCCGCGGTACGAAACGTCGTACGTGGAGACAGGGGCGGCCAGTGATCCTGGATGGGCGCGTGCCGCCGCCGCCGCTGGGGGGATGACACATAGTCGACTCGCGAGCTAAAAATGGACTTCGCGCTCGCGGACTCCCAGGCGAGAAGGTCTCGGGGACGCGGATGAGCATCTACGCCTGTGTGTCGTTTCCAGGGTACCCCCGCTACTCGATGGCAGCAGGAGTTTTAAATGGCAAAATTTGATTTTCTGTCTCGACGATATATTTAGCTCCGGGCGGCATCGCGATTGGTGGGGCCCCGCACATCCCGATTCTGGTCGAATCGGTGGACCTTCTATATCGACGTGGTAGGCCCGACGACACTCGTAGTAGGCTCGCCTCTAAAGCTTCACTGACCGACTCGACAGTTGTCAATTTGAAGCAGTTCAGAAGAGCTGTTTTCAGGGAAGGCCCAGAGCGGTCTCGTCATACTGCTGTCGGGCGATCCTGTCCGATAAGTGCTGCTCCCAAAAGCATAGTCAATCATGCGGCTCTGAAACGGCGTGCCTGCCCAGGAATTATACTAGCTACGTCACGGATCTGGGATGTCAGCGACCGGAGGCGGATTACGTTTCTCAAGATCGAATGCTCGAGGAAACCCGCGACAGACCACTGTCGAGCCGAAGTACTAAATATTCATTGTTTGACGGGAGACAGCGTCGAATGGATCGATTAATCGTAAGAACCGGAGGGCCTCGGCGCGTCAATTGTTTGGATGGTTTCTCAAAACTGCAAGATTGTGTGATTGGCAGAGTCTGCGGCGGTCGCCCGGCGCAAGACCAGGATTTACTTGATTCATAGCACTCACTCAATCCATTCATCTCACTTTCGGCTCTGCTCGATCCACATAAATTAGGCAGAACTAGAAACGCGTTCGATTTCAATTTGATCACGAGAATTTTCATCGACGTCTGGGGAATAAATATTTGAGCACAATTCTCGCGAGGAGATCGTATCCAATAATCAGATGCGTAGGTTCTCAGAATGGACCGTCTAGAATAGAATCGGATTATCAACAGCATTATACCACGCTTCCCTCTCCATCAACGATCTTCACGGTTGCTCCTTTTTTCTGTTTCCTTCATCCATCATCCTCTCACCCAGGCATCAGACCTTGGTCTATGTCACGCAGTCCTCAGATACTGACAGGACTTATGTTGGATGAAACGTGACGTCACCGAACTGTGACGCTGCCAGCGACGTTGAACAATCGTGACAGTGCTTGTCAAAAGCCATCATGATTCCCGTCACCTGAACACAACCAAGCTCAAATGAAATTTATTGCATTTGATCAAAAGCTTCCCATCTCTGGTCCTGTGGCAAAAATAGTCCGATGAGACAAAATAAAAATCTCTCCAGAGGGATTTTTTATTGCCCCAACAAAAAATATTGGTCGAAGCAAATTGAAAGATTAGTGATGTACATGTCATCAATACATCAATCATGTGCAATTACACAAAGCCCCTTTTCAGGTTCGTGATCAATAGGATTGTAGGCAGGATATCTCCCTGCGTGGGCAAGCACAGCTGATTCAGTTCAAAGATTTTGCTTCTGGCCCACAGCTAGGCAGGAAAAGATAGTATGGATTTGGGAAAGATCAATGATGGTTCGAACTTGGTTGAATTTCAGCGGCACGCACTGTAGTCACTGCGATTTCTCTGGTTACCGGAGCGCGGAAAGTTGAAGGGGCGATTGGGCGTTGATCGAATCGACCTCTCATGGGAGTATCATGTTGCGGTACGAGGCAGAAATGGGATAAACTGATTTCCGTCGAGAGGCACAGTGCTGGGAATACTTTGTTCGGTATGTCTTTCCCATGACATTGTAGATCATTTCATGCATGTCACGAATCCGGCGACCTCATTTCCCAATAGGAATATCGTTCTCACGATACTTCTTGATTACATATAGGTTGCACCTTAATCTGTGTATTTCATCGTATGCTAACACATTCCGACCAACTGCTTCGCGCTTGGCCACGATGACATTGGGCAACTGGATATCTTGCAAAGCAGGAGATTCCTCAAGATCGCCCCAAGACGTCATCTCGTCAGTTCGGGTGCCTTCCAGTCATCATCAGACTTTTCCGAGCCTCCCAGAGCGTCGAGGAATGTAATGTGAAGCTGAAGACGACGGAAACCGCACGTCAGTGACGCATAGAAAACTGGCAAAAAATCAGAATGAACGTCCAAACGCCCTACATTACATAGCTGTCACTTGTTGAACGGTTTCAGCTGCGACTCCCGTGATGACACAAGCGAAGATTACGCGCAGTTGCGGAGGCGAGGAGAGAGAGAAGCTACGGGAACTTGAAGTGTGAAGAGCAGGTGCCAGAAGCGGAATGAGCGGGCTTGATCAGTGTTTCGAAGGAATGTTCGAGGCAACTGATAAGATTAGATTGTCGCTCTGGACCGAGTCGAGGTAAAGATGACCACACAGATCTGTCTCGCTCGTTTCGGGTTAGCTCTGATCTCAGACTTAGATGGAGGCCGGTGATAAGATCGAGCGGGGCACTTGTACGAAGAAACATTGGGATATTATTTTTGCACATACGCGTTTGGTATACTATGCTACATATATATGATAAGATACAAGGACGAATAGGTACTCGATACACGCCGAGGTGTAGCTCGCAAAAAGGTGATTACGGGATGGGGGTAACGTACCGTCGAAGAGGGAGATCAGAGACGAAAGGAGTGGGATGGGGGATGATGAAATGAGAGAGAGGGTATGGATGGAAGGATACAACGCAGCAGATACAGGGAGCGCCTCGCCTTCTAGACGGCGGTGGAGGATCCCAGCTCGGCTGGGGGCGGTTCTAAATTGGCCTGCATGCAATACAGCGTGAGCTGTTTGCGCAGCGCAGAGCACTGGGAGTGGATATCTGGCCGTGTGTCAGCACAGCCCATCATCAGCAGCGGCGGGGGAGGAACGCAGGACACACATTCGCACGGCCACAGCGCGTTCATGACGTCCAGCGGCACGAGGAAGGCCTTCGCGAGGTTCAGCGCCGTGATCAGCCCGTTATCGTGTTCCCACAGAAGCAGGCATCTGGAAACCTGTCAGATCCCCCTCTCGTGTCAACGGCAAAACGGACGAACATGGAAAGCTGATGGTAGAACCAGGTCAGCGCGAAGGGGCGGTTAGTCGGCGTTGTCCCACGCTGGTCAAACTGAATCGACAGCGTTACTCGTTTGATCAACTCAAGTTGATAGTAAACTGGCGGGAGATCAGCGGCCAGAGACATCGCGAAGGCTGTCGAATACGTACTCCACTCTTCGGCTTGCCGGCGGTTCATCAGTGGGCTGGCGCGGGGAGAAGCCAGTCCCTGCAAGCCGCGTAGCCCCTTCTGAATACACAACCGGGAACTAGCAAGAAAGAAGGCGAGGAAGTCAGTACGAGACAGCGGGGACAGACGAGATGTTGCACGGACTTGGCGATGTTTTCCCGACATAAATACGACACGGCCGTATTCAAGTTGCACACATGCGCGTCCAGGGAGTCTTCGATGGCCTGCGCCTCACTCCACGATTCTTGAAGCGCCTCCGCTTGCAGCTCGCGCTGGTCACGTGTTTCGGCGTCCTTGGCGACGACATTGGACGTGAAGTTGCACAGCAACATACTGCGACAGTACAGTGCCCAAATGGCGTTTCGGGGATGCGTTCCCGTCCCGCGATTTCGATCGTATATCTCGTTCGGGAACAGGACTTGGTACTAGCACAGCCCCTATTAGTCAGAGTCCCACGTGCGGAAATGGATGCGCGCACATTTGATGGATCGCAGAGACTGAGCATGAGGCCCTCGTCGTGTCTCGTCAAGGCCAGACATTCCATTCGGAAACTCGTGGTCAGGGTCAAAGCAGCCCACACGACTCGGCGGCACTCCTCGTCCTGGATCTCCGATTGCGTCCAAGACGGCTCCCACTGCAGCGCACTCTGCCCCACGGTGTCGAGATCCGGCGGCGGTGAGCCGAGGGGAATGCAACTGCACTGCGGGGCCTCCATGCCCTCGACATGCACCGTCGGCGTCGCATGCGCCGGGTAGCGACACACCTCCGGCCGCGCGCTGTCGAAAGTGGACAGCCCGAGGCCGGTGATGATCTCATCGAGGAACGTAAGCGCCCGCACGACGCGGATGGGATTGTATTCTGGATGAGCAGAGGCTTCGTATTGGGCGAGGATCTACAGCACGGGATGAGATCGGGCCAAGAAGGGCCACGGAAACTCGCGCACCAAGGCAGCCATCGCGAGACTCGCGTCCAACCAGATGCGCTCGCGCCACGCCTGCTCGAGCTTCTCCTGTGCGAGCCGGCGGAAATAAGCAGCGCGTTCTCTGCCGGCGGCACCTCGGTCGGACTCGCTGGACCGGATGAGCCACGCCAGTGCGAGCGAGGCGAGCACGAATGCCGGCTGGAATGTCAAGTGGCGGTTCCAGAGTCGCTCAATCAGCTCCCGAAGGTTGACGAACGACAGCGCGATGTGGCTCTCGGTGTAACTGGGGGGTACCAATCATGTCAGCCGTCGGGTAACCGCGCGACACACAGAAAGAGGGAGCGAAAGAAAAAAGAACACACGTACAGGTCTCCCAAATCTCGCGCGATATCTCGAAGCCTGAGTTACGTGTCAACGCGGGCGGGGAGAAATGCCGGCGAAATATTGGGCTTACGTGTATGTCCGAAGAAAGGAGTCCCACCAGCCCTCTTGGGACGCCAGCGCGGCGGCCGAGACCGGTGGGAACTTGGGATGGTAGTGCTCGCCCCCCAGCGCGCCCAGCTCGAACGGCGACGGGCGCGGGAAGGAGTACGGGAGATGATGCTGCTGCGCGTAGCCGTAGACGGGATTGGCAGATGATGGGGTCGAGATGTACCGGTCGGACGGGTGCGGCGGTGCCGAGTGTGGCTGCTGCGACGTGCGCTGAAACGAACAAGGCTAGGAATCAGTACGTCATTGACGAGCACGATCACGCGAATCACACTCACCCGGATGAGGGCCTCGTCGGTGGAGATGTGCAGAGGCGGGGCAGCGTGGCTGGGGCGGATGTAGGTTGGCAGAGACGGGGCAGAGATGGGTGTGTACAACCGCTCTGGTGGCCCAGTACTAATAACACGACCGGGAGACTTTCGCTTTTCTGTCTCCAAGCTGAGCGTGGATCTCTTCCTCTTCTTGACATCGGCACCCGCTTCCAATCCGTGTGACTTGTCCGGGGATGATCCTGCTGGGACAGGGCCTGCTGCTGCTGCTGCTGATGGAACGATCGGCACCGGGACCGGAGAGGGAAGGGTGATAGCGGGTGTGGATGAGGCAGAGATCGGTCCCGTGCTCGTTGGGCTCGCAGCCGACACATCGATCTTGAGCTTCTTCTTCGCCGGGGGATCGTCACTCTCATCGCCCGGGCGTTTCTTGCATCGGCGCTGTCGTGTGCCCGGATTCTTGTCGGGGCCACGGCGTTTGGGCGCAGAATCATAGATGCATTTGTCCGAGCGTCGTCCACAGTTCGAACAATGTGGGCGCCCAGAGTCGCATCGGATCTTCCGCAATCGACTGCCCAGGCGACGATCAGTTAATCAGGCACACCCGAAGAAGCCCATGGACGAGGGAGACTCACCATTGCTGGCACGCGATGACCGCAGAGGTCGTTGTCCGCCGCGATGGCTTGCCCGTCGCCGTCGTCTTCCCCTTCTTCCCCGATGGGGACGCACTTTCATCCGCCGTGCCGGTGGAGTCGTCACCCAGCTCGTCCATCTCAGCATCCTTCGCCTCCTTCTCGACCGCCTTCGTCTTGCCCTTGCCCTTCGCTTGGCGCTTGGCCTTGGGCTTCGCTGTGTCCGGGGGCGCGCCGGCCCCGTCGACCGCCATCGCATCTACACTCGAGACGTCCTCCGCCACGCCGTCCCGCTCGGACGGCTCGCTGCTGTCCATGGTGGCGGATCGACCCGGCTTGTCGAAGAGGGGGATGTAGCTGACCTCGGGCAGAGGCTGTTCGTGGGGCGATATCGACCCAGCGTGAAGTCCGTATGAGTGGTCCTGCTGCTGCTGCTGCTCGTGGTGCGGTGAATACGGATGGGAGTGGGAGTGGGAGTGCAGATGAAGTCGATGCTGATCCTGGTGCTGCGGCGGCGAGTAGCCCGAGCCGGTGCCGGCGAAATCTGTGCAACGAGGTCGGAAGTTTTCCTGTGAGCTCACGCCCGAGAAAGAGCCCAACAGCCTCCGGGCAAGCAGCCACGGTTGTGTGGAAGGGAAGGGAGCGGAAACTGTACTTACATGGGATATTGCCTCCGATGTTTCCATACAATGCAGAGATCGTTTGATGGTGGTGGTCTTGGTCGTCGTAGGGCGTTACGGCACCGGCGCCCGGACGCTGTAGTCCAAAGGGCGGCGCAGGAAACATACTGAATGAAGGCGCCGGGATGGCCATGCCTCGAGGCAAGAGGCGGTGAGAGCGAAAGGCAACTGCGTCCGCGACACGCGAGAGTGGGGGTTATGTGATGCGAGCCCGTGTGTGAGATCGCATGGCGTGCGTGATCAAAATTGAACGATCTCCGTCGTGATATAGATCACAGCAACCGCCATTGGGTCCTGGTGACACATCAGCGAGCTGTTTATTTTTTTTTGGCTTTCTTACAATGCAAATCTCGAGGGCAGGGCGAGATGACGAGGGCGATCGGACTGGCCATGTCGTACCTGGCCCCTCGCCCTCGCGAAGTCATTCGCAGGCGTCCGATCATATTGGAACGGCGGCGGAAGAAAATCGGAGGAAGGCCACGTGGCGGAGAAGCGGCCCGGGATTGACAGCTTTACAGCCTCCGATCTTCAGGCCCGTTCATTTACAAGTTTACGTTCAGTGCCTCAGATGTCAGCCTAGACACTGTGGGTCCACGCTCCTCGCAGGCCTCCATGACCAGTCTCGTCTCCAGCCAATATTCTCCCTGGAAATCGTCCCCCCAACGACTGTATCTGCGGACATTGGCCCTGTCGGGCGTGGGGTGGTTACCAGCGACTGTAACCAAATGACGCGGCGGTCCAGATCTCCGGCTTCTGTTTTTCTGATCTTCGTTCTTCCGAGTCTCATTCTCCCTGTCACGGACATTACCGGCACCGGTCTGTCACATCGTGAGTCTGTCACAGCTTCTCACCTCCTGAGGAGGCGTCGCACTGCGTAGCCTAGGTCCGCTCCGCACAGGGGTTTTTGGAAATTAGGCCAGCCTCGCTGAAATATCTGAAATAGGCCCATGCCGTGCCTAAGAATCACATGCACTGCGTGGATCGCTCAGGTGGTGCAGCAGCAGCGTGTGATAAGGTAGAGTTAGTTGCCGCAATCACCGGTGTTCGCTGGGCCGGGAGATGTCGTCGATTTCGCTTCCTCCGGCCTGCGAAAACGGCCTTCCAGATCCTATGTCCGCCACACCCGTCGAAGGAATCCATCCGCTCTGAGCTCTGCAAAGCAGGATCTGTCATTCGGACAGATGGATAGCTGATCGCAGTAAATGCTTGTGATTGATGGCTTGTCGGGTAAGCTGCAGCTGGCCCTGCGAGCGAAAGGGTTCGTCCCGGGTGAGGTTCAGTTACATGCGACGGTCTTTGAAATGCTCCAGAGCTCAGAAGGTCTAGAGCTTACGGCGATCGGCGTCCCCCTTCCGCACACGCCACACGCGGAGACGACGGAGAACGTCTGGTAATCCGACATCCGATTGTCCGATGACACAGCCCATGCGCATGTCACCCTTTTTCATTGGAGGGGGATCTCAGCCCTATCTCTTACAACTGAGATTCTTCCCCGATATCGACCGTGTTGTGGATAAGGATAAGCCCTTGGTCGACCATGGCCGCATCTCTCTTTATCGGAACACTGGGATCTGCTGAGCCGAGTTTCGCGTCCTCTTCTAGCCTGATGTTTATCCTCATTAACGGCGAGGCTGAGGGAGATTGAACGGGGATGTAACTACTGTTTCTCGTATGTTCCAAGTTTCTGATACAGCTCGGTACCGAGTTAGTTGTTCGATCAAACGCGAGACGTTTCTCCTGCGCTTATCGACAGCACCATCACACCCTCGATTCCCACCTGTTCGCTGGCTGCTCCGCTGATTCAAGAGACCGTTCCGTTCTTCAATGTGCTCAATGATTGCAGTGAACAAGCCCATGCTTGAAGCGCTGAACTACCGAGGCTTTGACTTATTTTCACGCCCTGCGCGATCGAGAGAGTCTGAGCACCCCTACTTTCAAATGACAGATCGGACGATACCAAGAAATGGTTAGCGAATCCAGCGAGCCAATGAGGAGACCCACCATGATCGGTTACGCCCAATCAAAATATCTGAAGTGCTGTCCAACGCAGCGCAGGTACCTGGATCGAATTCATCATGTGTCGAGATCAGAGTCTAGACCCCAAGGCATTTGGTCATGTGCCGACAGATCGTGATATAATCACGTGCATTGCCATCGCCCGGTTCGAGCCCTAGACCAGGATTTTGTCCAACCGCAGCATAAGTCCTGAAATTTTGACTTTTTATGCCTACGGATAGTCAGGCTTGAAGTTTTCACCTTCATTGGCAATCAAGGGAATCACAAAGGACCGCCGGAGCCCACCACAGAGTGATTGAGAAAATGCTGGCAAGGGTGGATCAGTGGAACTGGGCATTTGAACAAGAACTAATCAAACTTTGGCAAGAAAAACGTACAAAAATGGACCCAAATCCAAATCCAGCGCCACTACTTAACAAATATTGTCCGACACTCTCTACTATTTTGGGACAAGTGTTCTTAGAAACCTGACATCCATCAAAATTTTCCAACATAGCGGCTGCCAACTCTAATGCATCATCCGGGGTCCTCTTTAATCCCTGTAATCCTCCGCTTTCGCTGGATAATCTCGACGTAGATACCGGACGATCATCGGGTGGACGGGAAACCTCGACACGGACGATGCCTACATTGTCCGGACCCCGCCGGTGCTTCCACAGCCAAGCGCTAGAGAGTGTATGATCAAGAATTATTCATTCGACCTGCTCGAAACGTGAGGGCTTTTGAGGCAAATAAATGAGAATTATAACATCCTTGGCATTTCGTTCATATCTAGTCAACTTCAGCTTAGATCTCGCACATCCATCCGTCTGTGCATCCCTGCTATCTTCACCTCCATTCCTCCCCCTCATCCTCATCGTCATCATGATAACGAAACGAATCACAGGCACTGCGAGTAATACTGGCCCTGCGCGGTGCACGTATACGGCGCGACACTGCATCAATGTCAGTTTCAGGTCAAGCCAGCCCACAGCTCACGGCGCGCGGACGTGAACGCACCAGGAAGTCGGCCCGGTCCAGCCCATGCCACCGCACTGCGCGTACTGCGCCGCGCTGCTGCCCGTCGGGGGCGCGGCGGCGGTCGTGCTCGTCACGGGGGGCTTGGCGGTGCTGCTGGTCGTGGCCGGCGGCGCCGCGGCTTTCGTAGTCGTGGTGGTTGAGCCCTTGGGGTGGGTGTCAGCTTTGCCGCAGAGATGTGCGCAGGTGCAGGGCGTACCCCGCTGCTCGAGCCGGTTGCGGGCCACACGGGAGGGCCGGGCTAGGTGGGTGGCGGGCCATCAGTAATGTACATTTGGGCGAAGAAGGTTAGGTACCTGGGTGTAGGTAGGCGGGATCGGCCAGTAGATGTTGATGCTGCAGGGTGTCAGATGTGTGCAGATCAGACTTTGGGTCATTGCGCTCACAAAATGCCAGGTTCCTAGGTGATTGATGTTCGATCAGCTCGAATCAAAGAGGCTGGAAGGGTGAGGACGACGTACGTTACCCTAGAGAATCAGATAAGCACAAGCACTGGGAGCATAGGTAGCACCACTCACAGTGTAAGCGCCGGGGAAGGCTACCAACGGGCCAGGCGTTCCCGATCCACCTGCAGCACATCAATTTTCTACACCTATCTGGGTGCCGAGAGCGAAGCGTACCCTTGGCGACCTAAGGACGAGCCAGATCAGTAAAATAGAGGCTGAGAGGTTAGAGCGCAGACGTACGTTGACTTGGGCACAAGCGATGTAGAACTAGGACGAAATGAATTCAGCATCCGGGGTAGAGGGGTGGGAGAAGGACTGTACCTGCGCACCACCCAAGGCCTGAGCGCCATGCAGAGCAATGTGCTCGGTCCGCACAAGGTACCTACACCCGTCAGTACATTGACACGAACGGTGCACAGAACAACGCACTGGCCAGCCGGCGTCTGAGCGGGGATCTGGAACTTGATCTCCGGCAGGTCTGTGGACTCGTTTCATCTTATGCGATCTCTGAAGAGCAGCAGCAGCACGCACTAAGGGCAGGCCACGTGATCGTCGAGCCTCCGTCGGTAATGGCGCTGATCTGGTACACCTTGAACCACACGGCGCCGGTCGGATCCCACTTGGAGACGTCCGTGCCTGTGGGAGCTTTGGCCATGTACACATTGACGACCTGCAGGCCCAGTCAGCTCTGCATCGTAATCCGATCCCAAGTCGCGAGCGCGCGGGAGCAGCTCGCGGGGGAGGAAAGCACGCACACCGGGGTGGTACAGGTTCGAAGGGGTGCCGACGATGGTGAACCCGATCGTGTCGCCCGCATTGACGTTGGCGGTGCTCGACGTCCCCGACATCTTCGAGTCGTAACAGCGGATATCCGGCGCCGTGACGTTCGTCTGCGGGTTGAAGTCCTGCCAGTTGTTCGTCTGGCTGGTGCGGGGTCAGCCTCGTGTAGACGGCGCATTGCCGCGAAAAATCCATCAGGCACGCACCGGACATACTGCCACGCGCTGGTGTTGGTCCCGCCGACGATCAGCTCCGGGAAGTTGTAGTGCGCGCGGACGCCGGCGAGCTGGCTAGAGAAGGCGATCGCAGCCGCGGCGAGGGTTGAGGGGGAGAGCTTCATCGCGGAGTGAGTGAGTGAGTGAGCTGGGCAGCCGTATCGTTCTGGGGCACTCCGTCCATATTTGTACTGCCCCCGGGAGGCTGCCCGCACCGAGGCGATAACGAAACGCAGCGACACGGAACAAAACGATTCGCTTTGCGGGAGGACTGGTGGCCCCCTGCCGCTGATGGCGATTACCCGCGATGAATCAGCAGAGCGTTCACATGGGCAGCACCACGGGTTGCCAAGCGGCCTCTCTAGAGCGCTATTACCCCCCACGAGCGAGCAGTGGGTAGTGGGGCGAGCGTGGGGTTATTCCGCGAAACCGAAATGTATCCGTTCGAGCGTAATGGAGCGTTGTCGTTTCCGAGAGCGGGCTAGGCCCTAGCAACCTGACATAAATGACGCTTGATCCATTTAACAAGATATGAACGGATCATGGGTGTGTTGAGAGCTTGCGGGTGTTTTCGAAGCGCTGCAACAAATTCAAGGGTGCCATTCGGCGGATGAGACTCACTCCGATGCAGGTTGCAGCCGAGGCGTTACTTCTCGATATGGCAGGCAGGCACGTGCTTGATGTTGCCACGGGTGACGTCATCTCATCTCACAACCAGCTTCACTGTGCAACGGCGGCCGTAACGCGCCCGGGACCGACGCGACACAAGCTCAGATGCATGCGATGTCGACCCCGGCAACAGTCGACCAGTATAGGATACCTACTAGAGCGGACGGTGCCCGCAGAACCCACGCGGAGTGACATCGGGTTCTATTCTGGGCCACGGGTCCCATCAGACACTGGCGCCATTGAGTCTGGGGAAGGGCCCGTTACCACACCGCGGATACACATAGCGTATATCTCGGTTTTTCTGCGCGCAGATGATCTGGATTGCGGCGTTGCGCCAGGGTCGGATGCAGGCGATTATGACTCATGGGCGGAGGCTGCTGTTGGGTTCCTGTGACAGTACTTATACGCACGGAGGAGTGGGGGGGACGTACCGGACTTGACTGCTCCTCCTCCTCCTCCTCCGCTCCGATGCCGACACTCCGCAACTTGCTCTGCACGGCCCTCCTGTCTGCTGCGGCTGCCCACGCACACTGTATGCTGCCCAACTCATCGATGGATGGCTCTTAACTTAACCGCGCGCAGATATATTCCCGAACCTGACCATCGGGGGCGTCACCTCCGCCAACTGGGCGAACATCCGGCAGACGAACAACTGGCAGGCCCTGACCCCCGTGCGTCTCGCGGCTGGCTCATGCATCCGGAACTCACCTGCTTGATTAGCAACAAGACGTGACCGTGGCCGACATCCGCTGCTACGACTCGGCGTTCTCGAACGGCATCGGCACGGCTACGACGACCAAGGCAGCGGCGGGGTCCGCGGTGACGTTCAACGTCTTCGGCAACCCGTCGAACCTGTACCACCCCGGTGTGCGTGTCTCCCGTCCCCCTCCCCTCCTCGGATCGGACTCGCAGGCTCACGCGGTGCAGGTCCTCAACGTGTACATGGCGAAGGCGCCCACGGGCACAGACGTCTCGCAGTGGGACCCGACAGGCGCCGTGTGGTTCAAGGTGTACCAAATCAGCGCTGTCACGGACGGCGGGTCGACGATCACGTTCCCCGCAACGGGCCTTGCCTCAGTCACGTTCAACATCCCCTCCGCCACACCCTCGGGCCAGTACGTCCTCCGCTCCGTCCGTCTGCGATTCGGCGGGACCCGTGCTGATGAGGCGGCAGGTACTTGATTCGCATCGAGCATATTGCGCTGCACAGCGCGTCGTCCTACGGGGGCGCCCAGGTTCGTTCTTTAGCATGGGTTTGGGATACTCGCACTAATCGCGCGGTCCCAGTTCTACATCTCCTGCGCGCAGGTTGAGGTCACAGGCGGTCAGTCGCAGCCACAGTCTATCGTCGTATGGGTTCCTGACGCAAGCTAGGTGGATCGGGCACACCGGGCCCGCTCGTCGCGTTCCCTGGTGCTTACACCGTGAGTCTCCCATGGCATGCCGCAGTTGATCTGACATAGCTGATATTCCTCTGCCCTGTAGGGCAATGTACGAAATCCTTCATATCGTCTTGGCTTGCTGACTCCTCTGTGTGCGCGTAGGAATCTGGAATCCTGTACGTCTTGTTACCTATCAAACTTACACTGTAGCTAGGTCGCTGATCAGCCCTCCGCTAGGATCAACATCTACTACCCCATCCCCGCGACCTACACCCAAGTCAGCCCGCGCTTGCGCTCCCGCTGCTCCTGCTGACACGATTCAAACCACAGCCCGGACCCGCCGTCTGGCCCGCCGGCTCAGGCTCTGGATCCGGCTCCGGCGGCGTACGTCCCTCATCCCCAACTCCCCACTGTACAGCACAGTACTTACTGACCAACGCACGCCCAGTCCACCTCGACGACGACCGCCCGCCCGCCTCCGCCATCCAGTACTTCCACCAGCAAGGGCACGGCGTCGACGACCGCCCCGCCCACGAGCACCGGCGGCACCGTCGCGCAGTTTGGCCAGTGCGGCGGGAGTGGGTACGCCGGATCTACGATCTGGTGCGCGTTTTTCCTTACCCCGGACATATTTGTGGAGGGTCCTAATATGCTTTCATCAGCGCCGCGCCGTACAAATGCACCGTGCTCAACCCGTACTACTCGCAATGTACCTGAGTCGTTGTACGAGTCTCCTAGTCTTACCACACGTTTGCATGAATGAACGAATGAATGAATGGATCTGACGCACACATGCACATGACATTTGAATTTGTCGATAGCGTAGAAGTACAACAGGAGGGGGAGTCACGGGATGTATGTACAGTATGCGAGTTTGTCTGTCTGGGTACGTATCACGTCGTCGGTAATCTGTAATCTGTAATCTGCGGGATTCGGTGTCTGTTCTGGTGCGGATACTTTAATAACGTGCGGAACATGCAGGGTGCCAGTGCGAGTAATCTGTTTCTGTATCTGTGCGAACGGAAAAGCGAGTGGGGGTCTGTAGCTGCAAATCGTATCATAACATAGCGAATGCGGATGGCAACGACGAACGAACGAGCGAGCGAAAATACCAGTCTCCTACCGCGTAGTCGTGCGCACCCCGCTCGCCGGACCCGTCGTCCCAAACTGGCCCTGGCCTTGGCTTTGGTGGTGGTGGTGATGGCTCCGACGCTGCTTCCCAACAGCACCGGCACCGGGAGCAACACCCTTGACCTGCTCAGCCTCGCTCGGGAACCCAAACTGCGGCGTCGTCGGACTGAACGCTGCGACACTCGACCGCGACGACGTGTACGTCAGCGCTGGCGACACCAACGGCGGCGAGTGCTGCGCCGGCTGTGCTTGTTGATGCTGCTGCTGCTGCTGCAGGTGGTGTTCGTGCGAAAGCGAGTGCTGGTGCTGCTGGCGCTGATACGCACTGCGCGCGAAGGCCTCCCCAGGTCCTTTCGGCATCCGCCGCGGCTGCGGGTGCTGGCTCTGGTGTTGCTGGTGAAACATCTCCTCGTCCATGCCACCACCCGCTCCCCCGTACGTCACAGTCGCCGCTGGGACACGGTACCCCCGCATGCCCACTCCCAGCCCAACACCCGAAGAGTCGAGATCAAGCGGCACCGGGCGGCGTTTCGGCTGCTGTTGCTGCTGCTGCATGGGCTGCATATGCGAAGAAGCCTGCGCCTGAGAGAGCGACCGCGCACGACTCCGGATCTGCGCCTGCGCCTGCAGCGTCTCCAACAGGTTCTGCATCGCCGGGTCGAGCCGATTGTTGCCTGGTGCGAGCGAATAGTCCACTTCGAATGCACCCGCGTGGTCCTCCTCGTCCTCGCCGTACATACCGGTGTGCGGGTCGTACCGGTCGGGGTGGAACTCTCGCAGTCCGGGCGTCGAGTACAGCGGCTGCTGTAGCCCATGCTTGGCGAATACCGACGACGGGTGCTGTTGGTGCGGAGGCTGGTGATGGTGGTGGTGGTGCTGCGAGTGGGAATGTGGGTACAAAGACGAGGCCGAAGTCGAGGTCGGATGGAACGAGTGAGCGTGAGACTGCGCTGCGGCAAGCTCCTTGCCCCGCAAGTTCAGCAGCGTCGCCTGCGCAATGCTCAGCTGCCCCGCCTGTCCGTGGTCCTCGTCGCGAGCCGTGCGTTCCTGGCGCTGTGGAAGGGCACATACCCGTCAGCGCCCCATCTTCGCATGAACTCAAGAGCACGCACCCGTAACTCCCGTTGCTCACTCGTATCAGCGAAGCGCACGGAGATCCGACTGCCAGCGTCGTTCCATCCGCGCACCATCCGGCCATGCAGCCGCTCGATGATCTCTTCTGCGGCAGTTCGCGTCTCTAGTCTGCCAATTATACATCAGTGTGTGAATGACTTTCAGGAATGCAGTGCCGCACCTTACAAAGGCGATGATGCGCGGCGGATGGCTCAGTTTTGTCTGGAAAAAGCGACTGCTGCGAATCGCGTAAGGCGACACCAGCGCAGCAAGCGTCGCGTCATCGATGCTCAGCGGGAGCCTGCCAGACAGTTAGCAAGTGCATGTCAGAGGCAGCAGCAGATGGTAGGTAGGGAGTGAGTAGCAGGACGGTGTGACATGTGACATTGCCGGGAAACGAACGAGAGAAAACAAGACAGGAGAGAAGCACGCACCCCTCGATATACAAGTTCGTGCTCGTCCGGTCCGCAAGGCGCTCCATCTTGGCCTTGAAAGAATCGGTGGCGCTCACATCATCCCATTCGGACGAGGCGCCAACGGAGCCGCCAGTGTGAAGCGATTGGTCATTTTGAGAATGTTCATCTCCATGATGAGATGAAACAGTCGCATACACCGTCCCAGGGATCTTATGCACCTGCTGCAAGGGGCCTCAGTAAATGCAGACTAGTTAACGAGCTGAAGGCCTAACGAACCTTGGAGAAAGTGGGATGCAAATTGCGGTATTTGCGCAACACCTCGATGCACCGCGCCGCAGCCGCGACTTCCTCAAATAGCACGAACCCGTACCCAGTCTCAGTTTCACTCACATGCCGCGTGAAGCACCGCACGCTCTTGACAGTGCCGAAAGGCGCCGCGAGCGCGAAGAGCTGGTCCTCAGGGAAGTTGGGCGGCAGGCCATTGATGTACACATTCGGCGTGCGGTGGTCGGGGAGAGACTCGTGATCCGAGTGAGCATGGGCCTGGGGTGAAGAGTGGATTGTATGAGACTGAGAGGGAGGAAGCGGTCGGTGAGCCTGCTGGGAGCGCATGGACGCAGGCAATAACGTGCTCGATGCGAAACTGGGCTCCCGCGACCGATCACCACGCAGCGGCTGTTGGTCAACGACGACAGGCAGCGGAATCGTTCGTGAGGCTGGGGCGTGTGGTGGCTGAGCTAAAACGACAGCATATATCCAGTCAGCTGGGCAGTCCTAACGAGAAGATCTCGTGCACCCACCTTGGATGATAATCTGGGTCACCTCCCCATCTTCTTCTTCGTCCCCTTCGCAGGCTCCATCATCCGCAACGACCAGCGTCTTGCCCTGACCCTCCATCAGCCGAGCTGCCTCTCGAACCTTGGCCTTGAACACCTCCGCTGGATTACCCGGCACCGGCGAGCCCACCAGCGTCGCTGCCGACGCGGACGGTGCCAGTCCGGTCTCCTGGTCTTGGGTAGCAGGAAACCATGCTGGCGAGGAGACAGACGTCGGGAGTGAGTACGCTGATTCAGGAGGACCGATTGGCGGGGACCCGGTAAGCTGAGCTGAAACAGGCGAAGTGGGAGAAGTGGGCGAGGTGGGCGCGGGAGAGGACGCCGCAGACACCAGAGTCGAAGAGGGTGGAGAGACAGGAAGCGCTACATCCGCAGCCGGGGTAGCCGACGCGCCTTTGTTGCTGTTCGGCGAAGTGGGATGCGAGGATGCTTCGGGCGGTGGCGTCGGCGGCGCGTGGCCGGTCGTACTAGTCGTGGCAGGGGTCAAAGAAGGAATAGCTGCAGCCGCAGTTGATGCCGGGGCCGGGGTCGGAGTGATAATCGTAGTCGTAGCGGAAGGAGAGGACATGCTGGTGCGTCGATGATGCTAGTGGGTAGGACGCGAGTAGGAAATAGGTAGTGGGTAGCAAGAGAACGAGACGAAACGAAACGATATATGTATGTAGCAGAAGGAAGGTCGAGCAGGAGGAAAAACGTTTCGTAACGTCGGCGGTCGTGTATATATGCTAGAAAACGGGCGAGGCAAAGGAGCGATACTTAAAGTAAAGTTAAGGCGTCGTAGAGCATGCGTATACGTATGCGTATAAGAGGCTGGTAGTCAAAGAGGCTGATGCGGGGTGGATACGTTTATAGTCGGGATACGGTTGGGTGCAGAGTACAGATGAGGATGGTGGAGGGGAGGGAGGAGAGGAGGAAAGCAAGCGAACGATCAAGGGAACGAAAAGAACTTGGTCGAAACCTTCAAAAGCCCCAGAACGCGTCCGTTTATATACCATAGACGTAACCCAGGACTCTCTGCTCGCGAGCCTCGTGATATCGAGTACATTTAATTAACGCGGGGAAGCGAAGAAGCGCGGAACCCAAGTCAAGAGTGGGCAAGTCTTCCACAGTTCTCTGTCGTCGTCGTTGGTGTCACGTGAGAACCTCTTGAGGAGCGAGTTCAATACAGAGCGAGAAAAAGAGATGCAGAGAGATTCGTCGAACTCGCATGACAATCTGAAGGACGGTGCGCATGCAATCAGGCGAGTTACAGTAACAAACACGAAGATCTCGTAAGACAGATAGGGGTTTATCCTGATTAGGAAACCGAAGGATTGGGTTGCAAAAGCAGGCCAGGTGTGAATCTCTCTGATCGACAACGAGAACCTTGCAGTTCGTTTTTAAACACTCTTGAGATTCTCTGTAATACTCAAAATCCACCGTAGTACTGTTGAGACAGGCGTTGTCTCCCGTGTCCCTGACAGAGACACAGCACAACGCGTTTAGTTGACAAGTTGGTCTATGATACAAAAAAAAGGAAGGTCAACATCTGCCAGCTGTAAATGAATTGCTCTTCAGAAATATTTGAAGGATTCTTGCAGGATTTCGGACCGTACGGTAGCATGACTAGCCTGACGATCCCGCTGAACTTCCCTGCCACTCACCAGGACATTCGATAGGGCGATTGAACTTCTGAATACAAACAGGGACCGTATTCCCGGAATGCGCACGATGACGTGCCAACCACTCGCCTGATCGCGTCTAGCGTCCAGACCCCCGACTCCCGACATGGGCTCCATAGTGTACGGCCGTCGCCTGTCGCGTCCCAAATTCTCGAAGTATATCCAGGGAGTCCTCGGACTCGGCGGTCGATTCTTTGAACGCCGTTATAAGCGGGTGGCAGACGAAGACAACTTCGAGTTGACTGGGACCTGAGCTCGAAGGCGCACTAAATACTTATAAGCTCAAGGAACGTGGCCGAATTACAACATGTCTGTCCCTGTTTCCGATGAGAAAATGTGATGACGTTCTCAAAAAGGTATTTCTTACCGGCATGAATGGTTGATCAAGCAAGTCTATGTGTTGCGAGGGTTGACTATCAGAGTTTACAAGAGCATCTGCAATTACTGGAAGTCACTACCATTCGAACCTTCGACATCCTCGCAGAACTCGATTTTGCACTTCGGTCGTCTGCGCGCCGCTGACGAGTTCCTTGAGTACCGGCAGTCATACACATCTGTCTGGTCACAGGAACATTTGAACCGTTTCACGAGGGCTTATGGACCGGAAATTCATGTAATAGAACCTACGCCGCCGCTCTGTTACCCGGCGAGCTCCTGATTCGATCAGAGTCTATCTGTTTTGATCGGCATGGAGAACGGTAGAGAATATCTTTGATGTTCTATTGACGATCTAACATCTGCAAGATGTGCAGAAATCTCATTGCCTGTGTTTTTGTCCAGGACCAAGTTCCGCTTTTCCGGTCACTCTGACGACGAATGCGTTCGTCGTACTTCACGAGGTGCGTAGTTTGCCCTCGGGAAGAGTTTGGTCGAATCAGCTTCGGGTCTCCCTATGCTCATCCCAATCCCGTCATTGCTCGCCGATTCTAAGTGGGGCTCCAGTGCTGAAGTAAGAGATTCATGGCAACGGGGACACATTCCTGCCCTCAGCGTTTAAGAGCCCACCGGCAACCGCCGCACAATCAGCTCCACACGTGACGACGCCGGCTCAGCGCGTGCGTGAAAGCCTGACCAAACAACCCTTATAGTGCGCGCAGTCTCATCGAATACTTTATAATTACATGGTCATGACATGCATTCACCAGACATCTGGAGAATCGTCGTACTTCTTTCGTTGTTTTCTTAACCGGAGGCGGAGGCGGACACGAGGCCACTGCGCCGCTCCATGCGAGACCAGAGCTCGTTGAACGGCATCGCCGCTGCGTTCAGCAGCTGGTCCTGGCCCATTATATCGTCATCACGTGCGTAGGCACGATTGGGTTCCGGGTACACCTCAAGCTGGAAGTTGGAGGAGGGCGTGGAGAACACGGCGCGGCCCTGCGCGTGGAGGTTGAGTATGAGCCGGGATGTCATGGTTGCCGAAACGCTGTTTTCGTGAGGGGGAAGGAGTTAGATGCTGATGAGGGGGCGATGGAGGACCACTAACCTGCTGGCAAAGGTCGAAAGGCTTCCGCGAAAGAGAGGCTGTGGCGATTCAGTCGACAGTCATCGGAAATGAAGGTCACTCACGCCACCGAACTGTGGAAAGGGAATCAGGACAAGATAGACTGAAAGAGCGCAACGGCTTACATAGAAAGTCAATATATTAGACAAATTGGCCATAGCGATCGCGCTTGATTGGAGTGCATCAGCAAGGGGGAAACGCAAAACCCCAAAGTTTAAGGCTACCCACCCAAAGAACAACGCTCCTGCTCAAAAGCATTATGATCTGCGGAATCTATAGAGCTCAACACGGCTGCTCACCGTCTTTGACGAATAGGTCATGCAAGGGCATAGCCCCAGGGGACCGCCGGTGCGCGCGGTACCCACTAAGCAAGGTCATACCGAGTACCGTGATGTCGAACAGGAAGAGACCCTGCCAGGGTGCTGCTAGCCCTAAACAATGTGGACTGATCAGCACGGATAAGGATAGATGTGAGCCTCGGGATAATCACTTCTCGCGCTGGATTCGACGCAGGGTTAGACCACATGTGAGTGTCATCTCGAAGCACAGACCTGCTTGCAGAGATCGGGATGTGACATCCGCGGAGTGTCACCGGTGGGATGTTTTCTTGGGTCGTGACTGCCCACTAGATTGTTGATTATCAACTGAAGCAGAGGGGAACATTTGTGGTTGGACTCACGATCGCAAGCCCACCCAGCAGGAGCACGATCGATCCCAGGACTGAAACGACCCAGGCGCTCCGATTGTATAGCGCATACATCCTCAAGATCATGACCACTGCGGCAGTTGCCTCGTCAGGGCGAGCCAGATCTCCGTATGACATGGTGAGAACTGACCGAACACGATGAGTTGCGTAACCAACAGCAGTACTTGACGTGCGAGAGTCGCTCGAGAACACCTAGAGTGTGATTGAAACGTCAGTCACGACATGTCGAACGTGCAGAGACTGTTGACTCGCATCTTCATGGAAAAAAACGTCACACGACGTCAACCCGCCACCGAAATTAACGCACCTCCGGGGAAAGCTCCAAGAACGGGAGCACACCGACCCAGACGTTGCCTAGAAACGCGAAATAGCGGTTGAGGAAAAACAGGTGCGTCGTGCGGCTGCTCCAGCGCGGCCAGAAGAGGTGGATCTCAGCGTCTGCGGTGGCTTTATCGCATCTCATAGGGATTGCACAGAAGAACATGTACGCACCAAGCGTGATGATATGGTCCCAATATAGTATCGCTGCAACAATCAGGTGAACACAACTGCGCGTAGGCGCTGCAAGAGTGCGCACAGATCCCAAATATGTGAGCGGCGATCTGTTCGTGACTTTACGGGGTCGTGAGCCTCCCAGTCATCCAGGGCGCGAACGCTCCGCTGCCACGCACATCTGAGTCACCGCGGACGCTTCATCCAAGCTCATGGACTGTGGAGGGGGAAGGAGGGGGAGCGTCAAAGGACTGCGCACGACGAACACCACTGTATATCCCCTGTCACAGCGGCAGCGTGGAATTTGACTTGGGGCTTGACCGGCCGCAACAGGAGATTGGACACGAAAGATCAAATTAGGGCGGTAGTAAGGTGGAGATGAACGACAAACGCGGACCGGGTGGGGATGATCGGGCCACGATCGCATCAGATTAGATGAACGAGACGGCGGCGCCCTCACGTGCGGTGTGACATATCGTGGTCAACACGTGTTTTCTCCCCTGCCGTCATTCGATCTACTTGGCCCCGATAGGGCAGCGTTTATCTCGAGAGATCCCCTGGAAAGTCGACACCGGGCCGGGTATGCAATTGGACTGATCCTGCGCCGCAAGTTGAAGCTACGCCCGAGTACTGGTTGCTCCTTCCAGACAAAATTGCTCCTTCCAGACAAAGAGCGCAGCTTTGCACCGGCTCCGCTGATTCCGCTGAAAACGAAACACCAAGAATGGTATTTTGCCCCTGGCGCTTCAGGGATTCATTCTTATGCATTCAGGTAGGAACGTAACGGCGGGTGGAGTGTTTCTTCACGTCAAAAGACATATCGCTATCAGTGATTGATAATGCATACCCTTTAAAGAGCAGTCTCTCGCCTGAGCCTCTTTCTTTGTGAATTCATGGATCCAGTGGAGGTTCAGCAGCAATTGTGCGCCAGAAATCTCCGCGCTAAGCTACAGCACAGAGGGCTGACGACGCGAACAGGAACGCCAACTATTACTTCAACTGTGTCTCGTTCAGTGAGTCCTCGATCTCCATACGCATAACCTCGTACACTTCTGACACAAGCGTCCAGCGCTGATATTCTACGACTATTTCCTCACGCTTGAATGGGAAGTCTCGCGATACTGGGGCCCGTCGTTCACGTTCCGCTGGCCGACGATGGTCTTCTTCGCCAATCGATATGCAACGATCCTGGGCAACATACCCGCCGCAATCGAGTACTTTTGGGCTACGCCCAGCTCACCTGCAAAGTTCGCTGTGCGTGTTCAGGGATCTTCCGCATGCTGAAAGCTACGCTGACACATGTCGATAGACGTGAGTGCCTGAGCCGTCTCTGCACCCATGATCAGCCAAGTTAAATCGACATGTCCCTAAGCTGTCGTGTGCTCGAGACGTATCACAAATACTTCGTCATCATCATCCAAGTCTTCATCACCGGTAGGTTTCCTTCAACTCGTAGGCGCGCGCAGCTGCTTGATTGACTCGAACCACCCAGCTCTCCTGACCGTCCGGACGTATGCGCTTTACGAGCACAGTAAACGGATCTTGGCCCTCATCATGGGCTTCATAGTCGTCACCGCAGGCTTGGGGCTGGTGCGACTCTCCGTCTTTCCACGACCCTCCAGCTGATTCTATCGCCAGTGGGCTACCTTTCGCCTGAACATCGACCAAGCCAGCACAACGTACCATGCCGAGCCGTATTTCGGGTGCACCAACACCACCACCCGGACCCAGTCAGTCCTTCAGAGCATGAAAAGGTCCGATGGGGAACCAGCTGATATCCTGGCACAGGGCGCTGAATTTCGCTGCTCCCTGGACCAGCCTGTTCCTCCTCGATTGCGTCATATTCGTGCTCACTGTCAGGAAGGCGTTCCATGGATTTCGCGATCGCCACAGCACGGGCAGCGAGCTGTTCACTGTCCTGCTACGCGATGGTACGTCCCGATGAAGCCTGTCTCTGAACACGACTCAAGATATCATTGCCGCAGGCTCGGTGTATTTCGCGTGGGTCTCATCTGCTCAGTACTTGCCCGCCCCCATTACTGGACTACCCCTTACCCAGTGTGATGGCTCTCGCGCACTTGTCGAACATCATGACATTCTTTGTGAGCATCTTCACTGCTTTCACAAGTGTGCCCCACGGCTGACTCGGTTGCAGTTCGGAACAGTGAGTGACGCGTCTACACTCGGCAGACGAAGCTTGAGCTGTATTCTGCAAGGATTACACGCGTGGGATCGCGACGACCTTCACGAGCAAGTGCGTGTCAATGATCTCATCTCTCTCTCTCTCTACTGAATCAGGTCTCACAACCTATCCAGCATCGGCTCTCTGATGATATCGCGGCTCATGCTGAACCTCCGCGACCCCGATCTCAGCGATCTCAACCAGACGGGCCATACCAGGAACCCTGAAGAAACTGAACTGACCGCTGCGATCCAATTCGCGTCTGTGGCTCCAGGAAGCCAAAGCTCGGAAGGCGCGGGTTGAATTTTTCTTTCGCTGTTGTAATCATTGTAAGCAAGTACTGTACGTCGTTATCGCTCGACCTCACTGTATCATTTGTCGTTGGAAATCGTTCCTCTCCGGTATCTCCCGCCAGGCCCTGCATAGATCCACCCCCGATGCTGCAGCCAGGGATCCGTGGCAAGAATGAGCTTAGTCCCGCTCATTTCTCGCGCTCAATTCGCTTCGAGTCAAGTCTCCAAATCAATGATATGTCAAACCGGTTCTCAGCATTCCCGTTCAGGCCCTGCATTTCTGCTTGAGCTCGCTCTTGACTCATTACGCATAGCTTTCTGACTGCTGTGGAGCGAAATGAGGCGGGGGCGGTCGAGCCCCCCAGAAGGCTTCCACCTCGTCTCGTTTCTGTGCAGACATGGGGGACAGCCTTGCTAGTTCCTTTTCGAAGCGAGGCATCACTGATCGCAAAGTCTGAGGCGGGTTTCATTGTAAATTGCGATGCGAGGAATGCACGAAAGGGACTGCCTGAACCTCAGAATTGATTCGCTTTGGGTAAATTCTACCCAAAGCAATGGAGGATTGAGGTGGTAGCTCCCCAGTGCCATGGTGATGGCGATGGCGATGGCGATGGCGAACCCTCTCAAACATCCTCGCATCATCGATCTGGACCCTAGAATACATGAAACTCGAAGCGTCCTCACATTCATTGCCTATTCATTCAGTTTGAAACAGAATGTCGAACAAGGAGTGTCCATAATAGGAAGAGATCGGCGTTGACATTACAGGCTTACGCACGCAGATTGGCCATCATCAGTATCTGCCGGATATGATGGCTTTGCGTTCCAGTGAGAATGGCCACGGGGGAAAACCCTGCCGATGTCGGACTTGCACTTCGTGTGCATCCTGCGGAAACCCGGGTTTGTCGAAGGACCGGATCGTGGGAACCGTCGATCCGGCATAGAATTCTCGGAATCATCACTTTCCCACGGAGTCATCTCGTAAGGGCTCTCGGGAAGTAGACTCGAAGCGCGGTGCTCTGAAATGCTAAATCCAACGCAGAAAAATGCATACGTTTCCAATCCGCTAAATAACCTTAAATCCTTCTATATCCATGGAATCCGGAATCCGCCGCCAGGCATACATAGCAACTACAGGCGCTTTACGCACGCAGAGTCGACACAAGCTTTTATAGTTTCGATTGAGTCGTCTGCGGCTGCATCTTGTTCAGGAAGGCGGATGCTACCACGCGACCGCTCCGGTCATCCGTAATCTGCGAGGGGCTCGAGTCAGCAAGCCATTGGGAAACAACATTGAGTTAGGTGTGCAGAACGAAACGGACGGGCGGACAAAGCTAGTGACTAGAGCGGTGATCTGGACGGCTGATGATCGCATCTGGATCCGCCAGCCCAAGCGCTCTAGCCCGACGAGAGATGAATGATCAGAAAAGGACGAAGCGTGAACAATCCGCCCCCGTCTGTCGATCCAACCCGGACGCAAGAATGGGGATGGGGTGGATGGGGAAGTTGTGGGGTTGTTCTCACCTCACACCGTGCAGTCATAACCCGGCCTCCGAGTGCAATTGTCGACGAAGTGATTCTGAGCCGCGTGCCGCTACAGGACGTGAGAAAAGAGGAGTCAGAAGTTATAGATAGATGCGCACAGTGGGGCTGGTGCATGGAACAGGACATTCATGGATTGCGTGACGCCGACGCCGTTCATCCCCGACAAAAGACCGAGAACGATGAGTGGCGTCGATGCACAGCTGCAAGGAGCATGTCAGATGGCGCCCAATCGACGGTGGTTCATGCAATGAACTGACTTGTCGATGAGGTAGGTGAGGCATCCGCCGTGCAGCATACCAGCGCCGTTCAGCATATCTGCAACCCAGTGTAAGATCTTTGTCCGGCAGGTGAAACCAACAACGCGACGCAAGCGCACCTTTACTCACGGTGACCTCAGCCACGGTCACCGCCTCCATCCGCTGCTTTCCCTTCTTCACACTCGCTTGGGGCTCGGCTGCAGACACGCTCATGTCGACCCACCGCGTCGCCCGGCCGACGCGGTACCCGAACGTGTCCGGGGACGTGCCGACGCCGTACGCGTAGAACGTGTTGACGACGAGCTGCTTCACGCCGTCGGGTGCGTTGCCGGCGACGGACGCGATATCCGTCTCTAGGTCGCTTGGCAGTAGCGCGGGGTCGATCCACACTTTCGAGGAGGACGAAGGGACGGGGCCGTGCGACGACATGGGGGCGGTGTAGAGAGAGAGAGAGAAGTGCGATTCGTGAAGAGAGGGTGTGTGGAAAGTCCGTTTTATAGACCTTCCGCCATGCGGACTTGTTCTTCGCCATCATTCATTCCCTCATCACCCCCAGGTCATCTGCGACGCGACTTCGCGAAGTGATTGGATTTGGCTCCTCGGCTGTGGTCCAATGGGGCGAGCAGTTTGGGCATGGAGACCAGCCGGTGGGTCAGGGACCGCACGAGAAAGGCTAAGCAGTCAAGGCTCTTACATGGAAGGAAGTCGGTGTGTCAAAGCAATTGAAAGCGCTCCGTTCGCGAAGTCCGTTCACGTGGCTGTCGTGGGAATATTGATGGCGAACGTCCAGATTTTCATCTCGGCGATATCGGAGCTGTTTCGGCCTATGCTTTACAATGCGGGGTGAGATTGAGAACAGGCCAGGCAAGGGTCTTTGATGCAGCTAGACCGCGCTGGTCTTTGCATTAGACCGAGAATGAATGTGACTATTAGAGTTTCAAGCTAAGTAAGCTTTGAGTCTGAATGGCAGAACATGTCTATAAGGGCGGGCTCCCGAGCACAGTACAGACCACGCGCATCGGCTTGGTGGTGCGCATAATAAGACTAGAAATTCAGGGATTTGCAGGACATTGGCGAATTCCGAGGCGATAAGATAGGCGATTCAATATTTACAAAGGACCGTATATTCCCACGAAACAGATGCCGACAGAACATGGGTTTCCGAGAGGATTTCATCCCTGGGAGAAACTGACGATAGATTGTGTCGTTGTCAAGCAGCAGCCCCGGACTAAGTTGCTTACTACCCGTTGATGCTTTTGAGCATTCGACCGTGTTGGGCCAATGTCCGGTGAAATCTTCGACGCCCAAAATGATCGCAACTACTTGATGATTATGTACATGGTTAGTGCATGGATGCATAGAGGAGTCTTGAAACAAGAGAGGCACTTCACCGTCCCGGAATTCAAGTCCTGCGCAATCGGCAGCCATGTAGTGGCGATAGCGGGAGTCGATATCAACGGCGACGATCGACCGACCGCGGCGACCGAGACCGACTAAGTAAACCTTTGATAATGGCCGCGCTTCGTGTGATGACAGGAACTGCTGGCAGCGCAGTGAAGTTTCATATCACAAAGCTGACAGCACTGAGTCGGAATCTTGAAATGTCGAGCGCCTCGCATGAGGAGCTGAGTAGGGAGGATGAGTGTCTTGTTGCACGTAAGCGATGAGGTGGAGTGGCCCGTCCGATACACGGACACAGTTGCTCCAGTCCCAGCAGTCTCTATATGCCCAGTGCTTACGCAAATTAAGCGTGTGCCGAAAAATGCGCTCGACGAGACGGCAACGGGCACGAGATTCACGGCATTTTTGTTCGGAGACAGTCAGGTTGAGAGGGTGGACGAGACCCGCAGAACGTGTAACCAGCAGTTTCGCAAAGAGTGACCATATCAATCCGTTCCGAAAGCGACATCTTTGACATCCGATCCGTAGAATGTGCCACGGACAGTCACCCACTGTTCCAAAGACTCCAAGACCCGACTCAAGACCCGACCCCGGAGCGCCGGCGAGGGAGAGCGCCTTGTGCGAGTCTGCCTGTCTTGGGTTGTTCTGAGACGGCAAATATAGCTGCGCGGATTGATGCTCAAATTTCCGCTCATCTGCTACGCAGGTGCGATGCATCGGGTGAAGACCGATTCACAAGTATGAATTCGCCATCGCCAACGACCCTGGGCCAGCGTAGGTGCGCAAGATTGGCTTCCGCGGCAGCACATTGAACTGCATATGATCAGAGTGCGATTGGAACAGCCGAATCAATGCTTTATCGGAGGTAGTGGCGGGCATCTCTTGCAGCAGCACCTGGGGAGCACGTGCTGGATGGCAAGAAGTGCCGCTGATTGTTCTCGCTGTTCGCCCGAGGATTCTAGAGCAATGGGGAAATCGCGGGTCGTGATCCTTAAGGTGGGGAGGCCTCTCGGTGTGCCCTACAAATCGTGAACACAATGAATGCAGCATGTGTGCGAGGTCGAGATCAAAGTCACGTTGTCACATTGTCACGCATCGATTTTCACTTGCGGCTTTCGATAGAGGGAAGACAGAGCGGGCCATACTCAGGCCCGTCTTTGCTCAAACAGAGGACTCTAAATATCGAGGAATGCGACGCGGATCAGCTCAGTGCGGAACGGATGAATGGGAAGTCGATGATGACTGTCAAGGGAAGCATCGCAGCTGAGGCAAGTTGCCCATGCATCCTCCCCCAAAGCCCAATCGCAATTATCATGCTGAACAGCTTCGTGATGGAGGGCGGGCTGCCATCCCAAGTCAACATCTGTCCATCCAGCTATAAAACCCAGCGATCGACATCTCACCACCGCCCATGATGATGCCCATCATGCCACCCGCATGCGTCCGGGGCCTCCTCCTCCCCACCCTCCTTGTGCTGTCCCTTTCCGCGTCCGTGTCCGGCAACCCAGTCACCCTCTACGACGTCACGTTCTCCGGCATCCCGGCCGTTACCGAAGTCAGTGATGCCGCCTTCACCATTCTCTCACTCTCCGTCGGGGGCGTGGTCACGGACGCATCCGCAGTGCAGGGGACGACGTACGTTGAAGTCGACGGCCCACCGACGCCGACGTCCGTGACCGTCGACGGCACAGTCTTCGGGCTGGGCACCAAGACGCGTGCGTGTTTCATCTTATCATCTTATCGCACGGAGCGTCCTGCAACGCGGCGCGCTGCCCTGCGTGTGGCAAGTCTGACCGAACCCGCAGGTACCTTCATCGAGGGACCCACCGGGATCGTCGAGCCCGACAACCTCGGGCCGGGCTTCTCCGCGGAGAACAGCTGCAGCTGGGCGACGGCGGCATCCGGGGCGCCCGTAGTATGCCAGGGCGTGGTCTGGGAAACGGGTGTCGAGTCGACGGTGACGGTGCTGACGGGCGCACTCGTCCCCGCCGTCACGCTGTCGGACAGTAGCGCCAGCACTGCGAGCACGACGAGTGCCGTCGGTGCGGCACCGACCAATACGGCAAAAACGGGAGCTGCTGCGCGACTGCATGTTGGAGGACGTGGCATGGGAGCGAGCTGGGGCATGGCGTTGCTTGGGCTGCTTGCTGCTTCGGGGATGTTCATCGCTTAGGGATTGCTCATGTCTGTTCTTGAATCCCAGCCTATCTCCTTTGTCTAGGATTTCAGTCCGCCGATCTGTTGCGAAGCACCGCTGTGCCTATGGCCTCCGGTATGTGCTTTTCATAGACTCTGGCATCGAGCCAGAGTCGCTTCCTGTTCTCACTCGACGCCATGCCATGGTGGGAGTCAGGACAAGCTCGTAGATGGACGCTAACATGTGCAATGTCTCGTATTGGCGCTCGTGAGCGGCTGCACTCATCGACCACCTCTCCAGAACAATTTCCAAGAAGCGGGCGAAACGACGTAAGACAAGGAACGGGACCGAGCTCAGCAAAGATAAGAGAGCGAAAATCTCGGCACAGCCACTGTGCTTCGCGAGAGAATACAGAAACATGATCGGCGTGGATAATTGTATACTGGATCTGCGAGAGTCAGCTTGGATCATTTTCAGGCTCATGCAGGCATCGGCGAAGAAGAAAGCGGCTGGTACAGCATACGAGGGCCTCAGACTCGAACAATCGACGGCTCGCCTTGCTAGTCATGGAACGGGGTACTACATCCTCTCCGCCGAATGCGCCTCGCCCAAGGCCAAGTGCTGTGCCTAATGGAGAACATCGAGACGAAGGCTCCATGTCTTGGTCACCCGGCGATACGTCTCCACCACCTCCGCTGGAGTTCCTCCGTCCGACTCCCTCCACTCCATCGGGGAGCACCACCAGCTTGGCACAAGCCACCACCACCACTCACGCCCACCCCGGCGCCGCTTCTTATCGCCACCACGTACAGCCAACCTGCCACCTATGATCCAGCCGCTGGGCACCGGTACCGGCCCAAGCGGCCGCCGCGCTCCTGCAGGAGGCTTCCATTCGCCATCCAAGAGCACGGAGTCGACACCCCGGATCGCCGGACACGCGCAATCCGAGTTATGGCAAGTGGGCTAGCCGTTTCCAGAGCTAGATGGGGTTGTGTACCCAGTGCAAATAGAGGACCGCCAGATGGGGGACCGCCAGATGACGGAGGGTGCAGGAGAGGGGAATCGTGACGTGATCGGAGGTGATCTACAGGACGGAGGATTGAGGTGAGACGAAGCAGCAGAGGAGAGCAGATGGAGAAAGGAAGGTCAAGAAATTGCAGTTAGTGACCACCACTCGAGCTTGGATTAAAATTAGACTGGATAGGCTCGCATAGGCTATCTTGTCAACTAGGTCTAGAGGCCAGGAAAGGCGAGAGCTGCGTCCGAATTGGTCCCAAGCTCATCTGTCGTTGTCCATGGACAGGGACCAGGCAGATGAGCAGGGACTAGACAGCCCTCGTGGAGCAGAGCACAGACACTATCCGGGCCCCGTAGTGTAGCAGAGCACAGCCACAGCAGAGTCTAGACCGTCTGGATTCCTCCAGACCCCACGCCCAGGGTTTGCCACTTGATTTGAACCAAGCTAGTTCAACCGTGGGCGTTTTACAGGTTCTGAAAGTCCAGAGAGTCGCTAGGGAGCAAAGAACGAGATGAAAGCAGAGAGAGACAGTAGGGTCACGTGGGATGATAGACGCGCCGAAGGGAGGCAAGCACACGCAAACAAATCACGTCTTTCTATGGATTTTTGCAGCATTGCTTGCAGAAGTACAAGTCATCGATCGAGATGGCAGAGACAGAGATTCTCGGTAGGGAAAATAATGGAACGAGGCATTCTCACACGCCTCCTCTTCCGATTGGTGCGCATCCAGGAAATCTCCAGACCCAGTTGGAATCGAGTCCGTGACATTCCCAGCGGAGGAAGAGATCCGAAAAGAAAGCACAGAACGCAAAATGCGAAACGAATTACAGATGACTAATTAACAGTTCTATACAGATAGGTAAGTACACACATGTTCCGGGGTATGTGACAACTCTCCGCCGCGACACGACTCGCACGATCCCAGCGCAGAAGAATGGACTTAGATTTGAAGATGTCCGTAAGAATGTGCGTGGGGAGTGGCAGCCCATGTGTTATCGCTGTTGCTGTACGTCGATGCTCGCCGCTGGCCTTGATTTTGATTGTGATGGTGTGGTTTTCTGCCCAGAATGTCCGGCATGGAGCCGACTCCGGTGTGCGCATGGCCCCCGTACCCAAGTTGTGGTGCGGACATCTCGGAGGACACAGAAGCGGATGTCGTCGGGGGCTGTGCGTAGGCGAAGTTGTACGTCGCCGCGTAAATCACTGCCGCGCTGTTCCCTTCCTTGTACACCTCCTGCGATATCACAAATCGCGTCGGATCTTCCAAAATAGATCAGAAACACTCCACAGACGCAGTAACATAATAGACGAAGCGCACCTGTGCTCTGCGCGATGGACGACCAGTACTTGGGAATCAGCCGGGCCGTGTAGACAAACAGCGGCTCGTCCTCGGCGGACGTGCGCGGGTCGTGCACGGGGAGGAACTCGAGCGGGACCGTCTCAGCATGCACGATCGCGTCCTCGGCGTAGACTGTAAACCGGGAATGCGCGGCGATCGGAGTGGGGGAGGAGAACGACACGAGAGGATTGATGGATGTGATGCGGCGCGGCATATCAGAGACGCGAATGACGTCGGGGCTATCCGCCCACGCTGATGCCGTCCGCTGCTGTCCGTAGACGGACCCAGGCGGGACCAGGTCGATGCAGATCGTCTCGCTCGGAATGTGGCTGTTCGAGGACGTCGGGGCCGGCATTTCCCCTGCCCCGCCATCAGAGTCCCGAAACGGGAACAAGAGATGTAACACTTCGGGTGAAAATGTCAGCAGCGGTGACACAGTTGTTCATTTATCCCTCACGATGTTCCTGATCCCCCCCACACGACTCCCGTAACTGCTGGAGCCGACTGCCGACCTGCTTAGCGGACCGCCACTTGCCCGTTTTCCCGAATATGTACTCGGAGATAAAGCGATTCCGGCGGGGGAAGCGTCCGAGCATGCGGGTTTCTCTGCAGTCCTCGGGCTGATAGCGCTCGAGCCCTGAGGATCCGAAGTTCAGCCCCGCACAGCCAAATGAGACAATATGCGCGCGCGACACGGACCTTCGATCAACGCTGCTTCCAATTCCAGCGGCCAAACGGTTTCCCCCGAACGCAGGGTTTTCCAGGCTTTGCGGACCTTCAAGACGGACGACAGCACATCCTGGTTCGAGGCGGGCGTAGACGGCGAAGCGGGCCATGGGTCGAGATAGGCGGAGGGCAGACCCAGCGATGGCGAAGTGGGCTCGGAGGACGAGGAGGATGCGGACCCAGGAGTGCGGTCGCGGCTGGTGTGCTGCTGGTACCAATTCATGCCAAGTATAAGCTTTTGAGGGAGATCGGCGGGAGGTGATTGAGCGAATGCGATGCAAAATGCGGCTTGACAGGATCGAGGAGTGCGCACTTTATATCACTCTGCTGAGACGAGATTACGGCGCACCCAATGCAATGTCGTTGGCATCATCCGACTCTCGTGCTGGGTCTCGCGGAGATTCCATCGCGTACCCGATATCAATCTTTCATTATCTCGTTATGTACAATCGCTTGAGAAGGTTCCCACCCGAGCCCTGGCACAGAACCCACGGTAGGTCAGTCGCAGAGAAGTATTCCGGATGCTTGTCACGAGCCCGTAGCGACGATTCAAGGTTGCCCAGGGACGGCTGCCAAGTGGTGCTGCGCGCAGCCCTAGACGAAACTAGAGGCTTCAACCCAACAGGACACGCTGTCCCTAGCCCTGATTTGCGAGGGACTACCGCCGCAGGTTAACCCAACTCAGCCTCCGTGTCAACGTCCCAGGAAATAGGAATTAGACTGCAATCAGACCTTTTCGGGACAACTCGTGCCATGGATCGACATGCCGGTGTGAATCGGAATGCATTAACATATGTGGGTAAGAATATTGTCCTTACCCTGGTTCTGGATCTGAGAGAACAATCCACGATCACGTCCCAGTAGCAGGACCTGCTCAGTGCGTGTGCACGCCCCGGTCCTGGGGACCGCTGCGCAATTACTGCGGGCCGGGAGAGTCCGGAGCGTTCCCCGCCGATGATGGGATCTCTTCCTTCTGGTTCTACTTAGGTTCGCCCGCAAACGCTCGAGACCTGTATCTTGCTCGTGAAAAAACTTCTATTGCGGCAAAAATACGACGTTCGGGTCACGGCTTCATTTCATTCTTGCGCCCCCCAATTCACCCTGTTAGCTTCGAGTGTGCGCGATCATGAGCCGGAGAACTCCTTCGACATCGACGAGGATCATGCGTACGGAGAAGCGATGGACTGCTGCTTCTGCTGCTCACGGAAAGACAATCCAGTAAAGATAATCCGACGAGGTGGCTCGGGACTTCCCGTGGTTCTCAGATGTTCTCTTTGGATAGCGTAACTGCTCGCTCTTACAGTCGGTACGATTCAGATTGAGCAGCGTCTCATATTATCTTGCCGACCATTCCCTTAGCAACATTATGTTCTCCTACGCTCATGTCAAGCTCATTCGATTCTGACTGGCCCAATAATTGAATTCCAGTGCCAGTTCCCCGAGCGTGGCATCAGGTGACCGGCCCACCTTCGAAGTCTGGCATCACCCGAGAAGTTTGCAACGCCCGTCGTGCATTCCACTTGTCCATTTCCCCGCTGAATGCGCAAAGTCCGACGGGATTTCCCTGTTGGGCCGAGTGATCGAGGCGTGACGTAAGTGGAGTACCCGCTTGTTATCTGGCTTGAGGCTTCCAGCATGGCTACCAGTTTTTTAGGATTAGCACACGCACGGAGAGTACCCACGCCCGGCAAAACACGCCAAATGCGCCAATTCTGCGAGTGATATCGATATGGGTGTGACGAGTCATACTACACATAATCTCGTAGTAAATTGCGTTTCAAGCTGCGCTGACGCGCATGGACAGCCCAAGACGATGGATATTTAGTCGATCAGCTGACCCACCACTAGGTACTAAGGAAAAGCTGTAGTGTCTTAGCACAGCAATCGAGGGGATCTCGCCGACTCGCGACCCTGGCTGAACTGTACACTACACAAAAATAGGGGTGTGAAGGCTGAAGCATGAGACAGGCAGATATCAAACGAAGGAAGCGCCGATCCATCAAGTGACCGGGGGACGTCTCGTCCTACGTGGGGTAACCAACTTCAGATGAGACGAATAGCGGGGAGTGAGTAGTCATATGGCATTCCCCGAGATGGCTCGCCGACCGTGGCAGGGTGCAGGCAGCCCCCGACGTCCAAGTTTGAAGCCCCGATGGTTTTTTTTTTCACAGCTAGAGACACGCGCGCCTCCTCCCAGTGACAGATGGGCCAGGGATTTGAACGCGGTGTTGCAGACGTTCGCCCAAGGATCTAGATGGCTCATCGATGACATGGGATTCGACTTGTAGAGTACTCGCAGCACGACAGCATCAAATCGCAGAATCGCATTCGCAAAAACGGAGGCGCGTCGAAAAGCGCGAGGTGGTGCCAGAACTGAGCGGAAGCTGTTGACTAACCCACGGAAAAATCGCGAGTTCGGAACCCCGCTGCGCGCTCGACCAACTCGACAAGTGAGCAAAGAAGCGCTGCCCTGCTCACCAATCACCGACAGTCGCAGCCAGCCATTACTCCCGCGCAATACCCTCCGCCCCAGCCCTGAGATCCGTCAAGAGGTTTTTGAGGCGCTGGCGAAGCTTCTTGATCATCTCCTCGTCGTCTGCGCTAGGTGGGGGCTAGCCGGGCCGCGGGCCGCGGTCAGCACGAGGTCGAACGCAAAAGCAAGCGAAGAACCAAACGCACAAGCTGGTCTAGGAGGTACTATACACACGCCCAGAGATCAGCCTCATGCAAGCACCGGGGATATGATTACACGCCTCAGCCTCGTCGATCGTCTGGTGACTCGTCAGTGGACGATCGCTGTCAGTCTACTGACGCGTGTCAAGAGCACTCACCAAGATGATCGGTCCGCTGTGCCCAAGGAGTACTGTGAGCGTAAAGCCTTTTCGATTGCGATGACTTACCGATTCATCGATGAAGTAGGCAGAGGACGATTGAAGGATATGTGAGCCCCACAGAGTGACGTGACAGGGCTGATCGATTTCACAATGATTGAACACAGCCACCACGTCATCTTTTTTTTGTGCGCTGCCTGTGATAGCGCTGGTTCGAAGCTGCTTCATTGCTGCAACACTGGATGTCTAAGTTTTTTTTTTTGACTCGTGAGCCGCATCGGAATTTCTTACTCACTCGGACCCATCATTCCAAATTCTATACTCACATCCGGGTCTTCGAAGCCTTGCGTCTGTGCTGGTGAACGAGTTCTTGATGTTCGCACACAAGTCCAACTCCCATTCGCATCGTCTCCGTAATCCGGGCATGCGCATTCTTTTTCGATGTTTCTATGTTGCTACAACGGAGTCTAGGTGCATCCGGACCGTCGTT